GCGTCATGGGATATCACTCGGGCGTTGTGAAGAGTGGCTTGGACCTTTTTTTTTTTTTTTGTTTAATTCATTAATTGCATACAATCTTACAGTTATAGCCGACAATGAGTGGCTTGGATTGGTATTTCTGGCTGGAACGCACTGGCATTTACCGTATGACTTGGATGGCTGCCAGGGCTAACTGCATGTAGTGGCTTGCAGAACTGAAGTAGCAGTTGCGGGATTGGGATCTCCCTTTAATTTTGGCATTGACGGCCGTACTATTGACACTTGCCCTTTTTCTACCTTCGATACTCAGCAGCATCATAGGGTCCGCTTCGAACAATCTCAACTAATGTCTCCACCTAGATTAGCCCTGGCGTTCGAATATCACTTCCAGCCAAGAATATTTGTGGGTGAGTTGCCTAGCGGTTATCTAGACAGCTCGTTGTGTTAGACACCGAGTAGTTGTTTCTGGACTTTGGAAGGTCCAGGTCTTTGTTTGGAAAAGGTCTAAAATGACACAGTTTTCGGTATACGTGCTCCGCAATAACACATGATGCAAAATGATACAGTTTGCTATGGTCCAAATAGAAAGTCTACTCGACCTCACGCCGAGAGCACAAGTGACAAAGACATCGGGAAAAGCCAGTAATAAGGATCGATTCCCAGCTCCACCACACGCCCTTCCTCTAGAGGGGTCAAAAATCAAAATATCCTCCTAATTTATTTCACTACAAAAAAGAACAAAAGGTACTGCAGTGTGCCAATATGAAGCAGAACCCTAACCCTTCAATGCTCAGCCATCCATAATATGTATTCATTTTAAATCATAGCAAACTACAAGTATTTGCATCATGTGTTATTATAGAGCACGTCTACCGAAAACTGTGTCATTTTAGACCCTTTCCAGTTTGATTGAAGGCTAAAGACCTCTATAGTCGCTGTTGTATAAAACCTGATATCATTTGCCAGTTATAGAATAAAGCTGATCTACCTCTGAAGATGAGTTCGGGGCTCTCAGGCCGCTGCGCGGCCCTCGACCCCTCCTGGCAGGCAAAGTCCATCACTATATGTATATCTACTCTAGTCGATCTATATGTGCCTTTTCTAATATCCCCCATATATCAGTGAATAGGTCAGAAATTTCTCCAGTTCAAGCTGCAAGTATCTCTTTAACAGCCACCAAGCCGCTAAAATCGAACTACTAATCGATTCCCAGAACCAGTTGAAAACCTATTAACAATCTAACACTACTCAGAACAATACCCTATGTTCAAATCCAACACAACATGTTTCAAGTGAAACAAAACCTCTCTCAATGAGCGAATCAAAAGCTTTTAAATGTACATTGCATATGCAGGTTATAATTATATACTTATTAGATAGAAGTACAGAAACTGATCTTCTGCAGTGAAAAAGAGAAAAACTACGTACCATTATAATACCACTAGAAACGCCTTAAAGGGTTACCACCCAGGGAACTTTCCAAATTTATTTTCCTAACCTACCGTCTCCTGCCCTGTTAATTAGGCGTAAAATTGACCTCTCCTTAGCCCCATAATCACAGCTTAGACAACTTTAGCTTCTTTATTGACCCTTTATCGTAGTTTGACTCCATTCAATGATATGGTGAGGGTGTCAGATATTGGGTTAGGGTTTTGCGATAGAGATGTAACCCGCTTCACCACTCTCAGTTGTCGGCCTCCTTCTCCACCATCCATTTCTCTCTTTTTATTTCCTTCCTCCTTCTTAATATCACCCCTCCTCCCGCCTTCATTGTGCCCCCCAGTTCTTTCCTCACCTCGCTACCCAACGATGCTTGTGGGGATTTGCAAAGTGTTTGACAGCAACGATATTGCCCTTCCCACCGAACTAGCACCAACTGCATCTCAGCCGTACCCATCGATATCGACCTTTCCTCGCTACACCTCCGGCAATTTCTCTTGCACAACACATGCCCTTCCCTGTCTCCGCGGAGGCAATGTGGCTTGGGATTTTCTCTTTTCTTGCGGTTGCAGTGCTCAACTGTACCAGCAGGTGATGATGGAACGAATCCAAAGGGCTGTATTGAACGCTTAAAAGTTGCTGTTTATGTTCTCACTACTAATTTTCTACAGTAGGTCTAAACAGCGGGGTCTTAAATTGTATTTCGATCATGACAGATCACTCGTATTCCGAACAGATCAGGGGTCAACCCTCAAGTCTAGAGAGTGCAATGCTGTATCGAGAGGAGAGAGACATTTTGCGAGAAGCAATAATGTGAAATATTCTGATTGTATGAGATACAATACGATAGACGTCACGTGTCTTTGGTTCCTAAATGTCACCACATGATATTAATAGTTCCAAGAAATGCATACAAAGACTTCTCAAATGGGAATATTTATGTTTATATTCAGCCCTGTACAGAGACTCCCTATATATGGCTTCGGATACTGGTAAAAGGAGACCACGGGTACTTCCCAACACACTCTCGGGGCATGTAACGTTCCTCAAGGACAGAATAGGTAAGCTGGCATGTCTGTATCCCAATTCTAATCATAGGAGGACAATACGGCACTTAATATATCTATTCCGGGAGGGTCATCGAGCGACCATAGGGCTAATTAGGTAGCCGCCGTGAAGCTCACTCATTTACAATCACTACATCAATTATGTGCGACAAACAGGGGATGGCTACTTCCACCGCAACCATTACTAGACGAATATGAGTGATCACCGATGATCTACTCACGGAACTAGCTCCGTAAATCAGGGGAACCCGAATATTGGTCCTGCTATAAACGCTCTGGCGCAGAATTTCTCATCAGAATAACCGCCACAAGCGACCACGATCAAGCAAATGAAAACGGGACCACTGGATTACGGTATAACAGTGTCAATTGCGCAGCCTCGCCGTTTTGTTGTCTTCGTATATTTTTTTTCACTTCTCGTTCTCGGGATGACGCGTCGTCCAAGCTTCCATTGACAGCTAGCCCCAGTTTAGCAGGATGACGATCAACATCACCCAAGTGTTTCACCCGAACAAACTAGGGATGTGGATCCGCGATAAATGGCCCATTTAAACATGGTACCTGTATCTTAAGTTTTTTCCTTTTACCTTATGGGTTTGTTTTATGTCGCGGCCTTATTATTAGTGCGGACGGCTTACATAACGACGAGTGATAGTGTATGATATGATACAAGGTCTGTGAGGATTTTAATGTTATTACATAAGGCGGAGGCCTCTCCGGAATTATATTGACAATATAGGGGAGATAGATTACGAATTACGGATATCATTAGTCTCGAACCCTAACTGCACGCAGTGCGACAACAAAAACAGTCTGGGAACAAGACTAGGATATCATCCTTAGGCGAGACGAAGTAGCTTGCTACCGAGATTTCGCATACGAAGGAAATGATTGAATACACTAGTAACTTAGCACCGGTCAATGATAGGAATAATAGAAAATCTGCAAATAGCCTAGTCTCAACATGTAATTCGCCCAAGAGGGTCAGTTAAGATCCTGAGGGGGGTGGGGGTATGGGCACCCCAAGGCATACATACTCTGCACAGATTATTTTTCTTCAGGAAGCCTTACAAACGCTCAGATTTCGGTCTTGGAGATGATGCGCAATTTAATAGAAACCAGTCAACTATTAGATATTTGGCAGGTTCGTCCGGTTTGGGACTTGGCAAAACAAAACATCTTGCCATGACAATTGGCATTATTCCGTTGGGCTTAGGGGGGTCTGCTTTTACTTGGCCGCCAAGTGATAAGTGGGTCGTTACATACGTGTATCCTACCAATCTTGGGTTTTTTGCTGGACCTTGAAGGCGTTGGCAATATTCAGTCCCCTGCCGTCTTGATATTTTCCGATACCAGTGGAGATTTTGGTGGCTTTTTCTCTTGATCACTCATCGCCTACCACTGCTAGCTCCATCGTTTTTTCAGCCAGTCAAACGCCTACTTTAAGACCGGAACTATACCCAGCCTCTTGGGCACAAACTAATGTACGTACTCTATCTGCTTCTTGGCTGATAAAGCACCTGCCCGCATGGAGAGTAGGTACAGACTTTTCAACCCACAGATACCACATATGTATTCCAAGCCTCTGCGGGAGATCGGGCTTTATCATATCTCCTCCTCCTGTATGCACAACACCCCCCCCCCCCCCCCTTCCTTTGTATTGCCAAACAGTCCCTTAGCTAGGAACGCCAATACTCCCCTTATAAGCACCAATTGTACTTCACCAGCGCCCTGTCGGCATCAAAAACCAGGAATTAAAGGAAGTGGACGTAGACAGCGATATTGGTGTAGGCTTGGAGGTACGTGTGGTGGGCTAGAGTCAATGACTGAGCTATGACGTTCCCTGGTTCAATTGCGAATAACGACTCTGTAATGTAATCGCAAGGTATTTTGGCGTCTCGAGGTCTGCAAAGGCAATAGGTACTTTATGTGGTGATTGTGGAGGTGAAGAAGGCAATATGATTCGATATCAGTTCAGATAACTGGATATGAGTGCAGTGAGCGCGCGGGTGATGTGATGTTGTCGAGGGCAGTCCTCAGTTAGTTAATTACGCCAGATCCTTGCACTTCGAAACTTCCAATCTGTTTCTGTAGGTTTCGGAAAGTGTTCCGGAAAATAAGGTTGGCTTTCTCTCAGGAGAACCATGTCCCAGGTGTATGTAAAACGATACCGATACCCACCCGAACGAGCACAGCCTCGATTGTATATAAGCACGCACATATAGCCATCTCCTTCAGCAATAATACTTCTAGGCAGGCAGGTCAGGAGTCTCGCCCGTTTACTCTAGGGTGGACTGCACCTGCATCACCTACACATGCTAGATGGCGAATACGGATGTCACGGAACAGTAGTACAAGTAGTGCCCAAAACGCGAAAAAAAGAAAAGGTATCAGTGGGTAAAAGAATAACTTTTTTCCGCTCCAAAACCAAACCAAACAAGCAAAAAGATATTATACAAATCGTACATGTCTGCCATGAATAACTACTACTATACCACGGGAATATTAACCCGTGATGCCTCTTCTTCTCTTGACGCCTTGGAGTCCCGACGTTGCCGGCCCATACGTCATTTTCCACCTCTCCTCCTTCGCCTCTGGCTCCCCGACCTCGACTCGTGGCGGCACCTCGAAGCCGAAGCTTTTGGATACTTGGACCAGGTCGAGGGCTTTTACGGAAAAGACGGAGGGGAGGATGTGGGATGTGTAGTTTTTGAGGTATGATCTGCAATGACGGGGGTATGTGATTAGTCATTTGCATAAATAAAACTTTGATATTGGGGATCGATATGGAATAGGAAGGAAGATTGGGAGAGAGTGTGGAGGGATCAGATAGAGCAAAGCTCGTATGGTTTTGTTTTCATTTAGCGGGGTCTTAATCCGCCTCATTAACACGGACCAATTTCTTCTCATCATGAAAATCACACTTCTCACCCGCGCCAAATGGTAGTTAAGAAAAAACGTTGTGTACTAACCTGAAGGCATCCTTTGCTTCGCAATGAATGGCATAGTTCTTAGCGACCAATTTCCGCAGGTTCAGCTGGACGGCCGCGAGTTGTCTATTTGAGAAATCGAACTCTTCAGGAGTAACCCCGGCGTCTTTCAAGTAGTCGATGAAACCAGCCTCTGTAGGCTGAAGGAAGATTACGCTCTTGGCTGTGCTTGTACCAATGCGGGAGATATAACGGGTTGGGTTTTCTGGCGGGTCATATTGGACAATCCAGTCGACTTTGGGAGCCTGGATAGTAGACTATTGTCAGATACATTTCCAAGTTGCTCAAGGTAAGATATAAAGAGGGGTAAGGTGGGGAAGGATCAGAGAGAGCAAAGCTCGTATGGTTTTGTTTTCATTTAGCGGGGTCTTAATCCGCCTCATTAACACGGACCAATTTATTCTCATCATGATGGGGAGCAACTGCTCGATTGGAAGTGACGGAAAGTAAAAAAGAAATAAAAGTTAGGGCTGTATGCCTACGTACCTCAAGAGTTTGATACACTGCGTCTGTGCAAATCAAAGTTCCTTGCTCTGCCTCATTGAACTCGGCAAGATTTGAAGCATTGATCTTGCTATTTTGCTTCCCATGCATCTGGGAAACAGGAAGGTCCATAGCGTTCAAGATATCACCGTAAGCCTTTGCAGCTGCGGTTGAAGATGTTACAACGATCACCTTCTTCTTTTGGAATTTCTTCACGAAGGAGAAGAGTAGTATGAAGCGTTTGTCAGTCGATACCATGACATAGCCTTGAACACGACTTGCATCAGTAACTACTTCTGAGGAAGTCGTGCCCTTGGCTCGTACGGTTACCGGCTTTTTCAGAGGAAGACCCTCAGCGACGCTCGATTCAGTGCTTGTTAGGAGAACAATCTGCTTCTTTTTGGGAAGAAGCTCGAGGATCTGTTTAACAGACTCTTGTGTCTTGGTGTCCATTAACCGCTCACAATCATCAAGGATGATAGTATGCAGGCCCTTTACGCTGAAGGCAAGCGTCTTTTTCAAATGCTCCAAGAGCTGCGAGGGGGTAGCGATAAGCAAATTGATACCCCTCGTCAATTTCTCGGCTTCTGCCCGGAAGTTGGCTTGATCAGTGACAATGCCCACGCTCTGGGGGGCATCCTCGAGGAGCTCAGTTGCAACCCCCAGAAATTGATGAGCTACCTCGCGGGTAGGGGTCAAGATAATGACACCCGTTCCATTGCGAGGCCTGAAACGCTTCGATTGGAGGAGCGAGATGGAGGATACAAGGGCAGCGGTGGATTTTCCACTTCCAGCAGCCGATGTAACTATGACCTATAATGGGATTGTCAGAATTGATGTTTTAGAAGTGAGCGAGAGAAACTTACATCTTTATCGGTGAGAAGAGCAGGAATTGCGCTCGATTGGATTCCCTTCAATTCTGAATATCCAATAGCAGAGATTGTCTTCTGGATTTCGGGTGTGAGGTTCAGGTCTGAGAAGACCTTTGGAGTCGATAAAGTTACATCGCTGACAGCAATGGCAACTTCTTGTACATCGTCCTGCTTTTCGGTTTCGACCAATGGCTTGTCAGTCTTTTCAGACTTCTCCGACTTGGCTTTTGGTGATTTTGGTCCGTTCGCAGGCTTTTTTTGTGTGTTCTTCTTCCCGACGGGGGATTTAGCAACTGTAGTTGGTTCTGGCTTTTTGGAGTCCCTTTCGGCTACTTTCCTCTTCTTGGTTGATCGTTCCTGATTATCCATGAGATGAGAGAAGAGGGGTGATGATGAGGGGAAAAGTGGTGATATTTATCTGGTGTTGCACTTCCCTCTGACAAAAAAAAAGTTTTCGTGTGGTTTCTTCTCGCGCGTCTTGGCTCGCTAAATTTGCCGCAAACCCTAACCCTACCCGCTTAGGTGGGCCGTGGGGAGCGAGGAAAAGCTCTGGGCGCGCCTGCAGGGTCCATTTTTATCTCGGGATTCGGGAACATCGGTTGGAGTCTGGGGGGAAGCTGTCTCCCCTCCCTCTTCCAGGTGTTCCCCATCTTGCATGATGCATCTGGTGCGTCTGATGCGTCGTGGTCGTCTTTATTTTAGAAGGATGCATTTTTCTTTTTTCTCTTCTAGTTTTCTTGGTTGAGAAGTACTTTTCAACCCTGGAACTTGCTCCTCTTCCTGCTTTCCTACGGGGGGCAAATACGTGAAAGTGGCCTGTAGAGTACGATTGCAGTTACCTAGAGGTATCATCCACCATCGTCATAGCACCCAACCACGTTCATGTTTTTGAGACAAAAGCACGAAAGGCTGAGGTCATACTGAGATCAAAGTAGTTAGCCAGATAGAGCTGGTTATTTCTCTGCTGATTCCAGAACAAATCACTGGATCCGCGAGGTCAGAGAAAGGAGGATACACTTGTCAAATGATCCAATCTTAAAGGGTATGAGATGATAAGTGAGGTCTTGCGCACAATTCAGCCAGTGGCACGACATGAAGATATCTACAATACTGATTATAAATTATTTTTGATCTTAACTTTGTACCCACACGTGAGGGGCAAAAGTAAACCTTAATAAGTTGAACAAATACGAGGAGTCTTCATTCCTTCCCAAGGTGTGAACGGATTTGGAAGGAAGTCACCAGGATCTGTTTCCCCTGCGCAAAAATAAAGTGCCCTCGTCTCCAGATGCTGGCTAAACAGCTTGCAATCCTTCGTAATTTACTTCCTTTGTTCTTCCCCTTCTCTTAAGAGTCCATCTGTGAACATCGTGAAAATAACTCCAGGAACTTCAATAACCAAGTGTTTCGTGCCCGAACGAAACCAGGAACAACCCTAACCCTTCAGCTGACTGAGCAGTTCTGTTCAAGGGTCTGAAACCGATCGAGATTAGAACCTTTGTCAGGTACACACGCCTGGTGCAGAGAACACACCCAAAATATTCTTAAAAAGGAAAAATGCTCCAATATGTCAACAGAGCCATCATTCACCTGAGGTTTTTATCGTTTTGGCAAGTGGTGGTTAATAGCAACGGCTGCAGCCAATAGGCGTCTGGATACCCGGGGTCATTAATTATAACGGTGCGCCCAACGTTAAAGTAGATGCGAGGCGCTAGGCGTGTGAAGAGAAAGCACGATGAGAGAGGGGAAGCGGTACTGTAGAGAAACAGTAGTTTTCTCGTTTCTTGGAGGAGTAAAGAAAAAAAGCGTCTTGTCGCGGGTGTTCTTTTATGTTATGCTCCTTGGAACTGTAGCGGGAAAAATCCAAGGAAATACTGCTGCGACCTGACGTCGTGAAGATCTCCGTGGTCATCTTGCTTGTGCGCAAGAGAGATTTCGGGTCTGTAACCTGGTCCAAGTAGAAGTATCCTCTAATTCGCTTTCATAAGGTCTCTCGCATCCGTCGCTCCCGAGTATTCGTTCTCCCAGAGTTTATCGGTCTCATTGCGCATTGTTGCGACTACGAGTGCTAATACTAGTACTCTCACATTCTGATCTTCAAGACGGTTTCTCACCTCGTTTTAAATCTAACTTCTCCATACTTTAGACCGCATTTGTCACTCTGTAACAGATTCGCGCTCTTTTATCAGGCCCGGGCGTACCATCAGATCCCCGTCAGTAGGAAGCATTTGTCGCGGGTCCCAATCATTCCGCCTAATTTGGGTATCACCCATCACAGTGAGAGGCAGTGCACAACCCACAGCTCCTTGCCGCCCGTTGCACATTTTGGGCTTGGCTCACATACTTGCTTGCGACGACGCTCTGGTTCGGGGTGCGTTCCTTTCCTGGGGGTTCCGTCCAACCCATCACGGCTGTCCCCCTTTCCGTTTTACTGTGAGGTTTCCCACCATCATTCACCTGTCTGGTCTACCTGCGTTTTGCTACTCATAGAGTACCTGACCTGCTCCCCAACTTTTACAAACCCCTCCACCCTCTTCCCCCCCCCCCTCTCTTTTTTTCCAACCAATTCTAACTTGGCTGTCTGTCCAGACCCCCCCAAACATCAATCCACCAGTCAGATTAATATACAGACAGCCAGCCTCGAGACAGCTTGCTTTCTCGGCTGCTCGTTCGCTTCTCTTCTTTTCATTCTTTTCTTTTCATTCATTAGTTTTTTGACTCCCCTTTTGAAGTGAAGTGAGAAGAAGAAGCCTTCTTCCCCCACGGTCGCTTTTTTATTTTATCTACTTCGCCGCTTTCGCTTCGCAGCTCACCGGCTCCAACTAAACATCGCCTACTGCAGCATTTCTTTGTTTGCAACCACTCGTTTCCAGGAACACAACGCTTAGCTCCCCTCCCCCCATTAGCACAGCTTTTGATCTCCCTTTCATAGCCCACCCTGAACTACAGTGACGTCTCCCCGTATCACGACTCAGCAACTATTATAATCACGTCAAGCTGTCTTCAATAAGAGTATCACCCTTGCCAGGCACCTAAGGGGACTTCCCCCCTCCAGCATCAACTTCAGTACCAAACACACTCGTTGCAACGCCCATCATGATGAGTCGCTCGTTACCCAGAACAGGCATCGTGCCTTCATTATTGCTCGCTCTTGCTGCTTTCGGTACTGAAAATGTCGCTGCCAAAAGGCTCATTCAGTCAACGTCCTTGAATCCCTGTATGGACAACTCCAAGTTTTCGGCGTCTTTATTCAATGTCACGTTCTCTCCAGACGACTACATTCTCAACATCAATATCAACGGTGTATCGTCTATTAATGGAAATGTTACAGCTACTTTGTTGGTTATTGCGTATGGGTACACGGCCTTGTCAAGGGAAATGGACCCGTGCACAATGGGAGAAGGGTTTTCAGGAATGTGTCCCATGACACAGGGTTTAATCAATCTTGAATCTCACACGACCATTGAAGCCGCTGTTGCGAACCAGATTCCAGGTATGCTTTTCTATATTTTTTTTGTATTTGTTTAGTTGGGGAAATTACTGACATTTGTTTTGTCTAGGTATCGCTTACCAGGTTCCTGATATTGATGGAAAGGCAAAGATTATGGTCAACAGGACCGACACAAACGAGATGATTGCTTGTGTCGAAGCACCTCTCAGTAACGGAAAGACTGTAGATACTCATGGTGTAGGTTGGGCTACAGCTATCATCGCTGGAATGGGTCTTATTGCCTCTGCCGTTACATCCGGACTTGGCCACTCAAACACCGCTGCCCACGTTGCTGCCAACGCCTTGTCTCTTTTCGGATACTTTCAAGCTCAAGCAATGGTCGGAATGACCGCCGTTCCTCTCCCACCAATTGTTGCTGCCTGGACTCAGAACTTCGACTGGAGCATGGGTATAATCAAGGTTTCATTCATGCAAGATATTTTCCATTGGTATATCCAGGCCACTGGAGGAACTCCTTCAAATCTTTTCGGTGCCCTCTCTGAGGTCTCCGTTCAGGTTGCGAAGCGTTCCTTAGATACTGTTGAGAACAATGTTGGCCGAGCAGCCATGTATGGATTTCAGACATATGCCAAACTAGAATCGCGCGACCTTGTACCCAGATCAAACAATGACAACGGAATTAACGACTCTACTGAGACCATCAAGGTGTCTGGAATTCACAGAGTCGCCTTCAAAGCAGGTATCGAAGCAACAAACTTTTTCATGACCGGGTTGGCATTCTTCGTTGCGTTTTTGGTTTTGGTTGCGCTTGGTGTTGTTGCCTTTAAGGGGGCATGCGAAGGTGCTGCAAAGATGAAGTGGATTAAGGGAACCAAATTTTTGGATTTCAGAAACGGATGGCTCACAGTTTTGAAAGGAATTATGTACCGATTGGTATGTCTTGGAATCAGGATCCTTGACCTTGAATTCATCTAACATGAAATCTATATAGGTTCTTATTGGATACCCTCAGATGGCAATTCTCTGCCTTTGGGAGCTGACCGAGAAAGATTCAGGCGGTGCCATCACTCTTGCTGTTTTCTTCTTTTTCTCGATGACCGCAATTCTTGCTTGGGCTTCGTTCAAGGTCATTCGCATTGCTCAACGCTCAGTCTCATTACACAAGAACCCGGCCTATATTCTTTATTCTGACCCGGCTTCACTAAACAGATGGGGTTTCCTCTATGTTCAGTTCCGTGCTACCGCCTACTACTTTGTTGTGCCCGTTCTGTTGTATACGTTGATGAAGGCCATGTTTATTGCATTTGGTCAAGGAAACGGGACTGTCCAGGCAGTTGCGTTGGTTCTTATTGAAATTGGATACTTGATCCTTGTCGCCTTTATGAGGCCATTCATGGACAAGAGGACCAACATCTTCAACATTGCTATTTGCGTTATAAACTTCATTAACGTCATCTTCCTTCTAGTCTTCACAAACGTTTTCAAAGGACCTGTTAGTACCGCCGCCACCTCTCGTTTAGGCCCCCGAGCTAATAGTTATTTAGGGAATTGTTATCGGTGCCATGGGCGTCATCTTTTTTATCCTCAACGCTGCCTTCGCCCTCGTTTTGCTTATCCTCGTCCTCATTTCTTCCATCTATGCACTTATCTCGAAAAACCCCGATGTCCGCTACCAGCCGATGCGTGATGACCGAACATCATTCATCAAGTCCAATTCGCAAATGATGCTCTCAACAGAGTTGGATGCATTGGGTGCTACTGCACGTGGTGACAGCAAAGCCGGATATAGGAAACGCGACCTTGAGGAGGATACCGACTCATATAATTCCAAAGGTTTAGATGCCAGTGGTATTCCTTTGCCTCCATCAACAGCCGGATCCATGGCAGCCAGCCATCGGGATGCCCCACGATCACCTGTGAGCCCCGCCGTCCCCCTTTTCCCCACGACTTCAAACGACCCCCAAAGGAATAATATGTACAACAACAACAACCAAATGTCTCAACCCAATCAGCTCCCGTTATTGACCACAACGGGCACTCCTAGGTCACCAAGTCGTGATGGCAGCAGATCACCAGCAGCCTCCACCAGGTCTCAAGGAGGATTTGATTTCCAGCACCAGCCGTTAACCAGACAAGGCTCGAATGGCACGAACTGGCAAAGTGGTGCGGGTTATGATCGTCATTAAGAGTCTTTCTGTGTATGCAGTGGCGCTTTGCGGACTTTATGTTTTTCCGAACCGCGTGTGTAATAGAATGATGGTTTGGTTATAATATTTGTTTTTTTCCTTCTTGTGCCAAATTCAGGGGTGTTTTCTTCTTTTCTTGTGTATTTTCTGTATTTTGATTTACTTATTTTTGATGTATGTGAAAGCCACCGGGAAAACGGGACATTTGCATATCACTTCGGAAAACCCTAGAACGTCTTAGTATAGACAGTGTTGGGGGTGAATTTCTTCAGTTATTGTAGCTTATGTGTAGGCCAAACTGGGGTGGTTTTTTTTTATTTTTTTGACCGCGATTTCTTTTGTCTGTCCTTTTCCCTCTTATTTTTCCTTATGTCTTTTCCATACGGGGTTTTTCTTTGTTACTTTATTTGCCTCTACAACTACTGTCTGTTAACTCTTATTACCCTGGGTGGGTTTAGGTGGCGGGGTGGGATGGGGCGGGTATTTGGTTAAGGAGCGAGGGATGGATTGGAAATTTGGGGATTGTTTTTTTTGTCCGAGGGGTTTGGTGCATCATACGTGTGTGATGGCAAGGTATGGTGCGGGGCGCATGGTTTCATGAAGAGGAGGCTACTCTTTTATACATACCTTATCTTTTGCGCTTCCTTTATTTTTTTTTACTTCTCTTCTGCGCACTCATCTCTTCAGCTACCATGCTGTTCTGGTTGTACCATCTTTTCACACACATTATCATCTTCACTTTTATCATGGTTCCCTCGATCCTCTGTGTCTAGTACACTTCTCACATTATATATACCCATGCTTGTTAGCCCACTACCATTCCATTCATCTACCTCCCCCAAAATACAACTACATATCCAAACAGAGACAGAGACAGACAGTCAGTTAACCAAAAACCAGTGATACCCCCTCCACGTTTTTTCTATTCCTTTCCTATCTCATTTTCTCTCTCTCTCTCTCTCTCTCTCTCTCTCTCGGTCTGGGTTTGTTAGGGTGGGTCTTAATTTCTTAGGTGGGATCTTGTTTTTGTTTGAATCTACTTAGCTATATATATCACTCACACTCATTATCTATCTTTTTGTACAATGTATGGTTATTGTTTTTCCCTTTGTGACGCTGCTCGTATTTTTTTGTGCAATTGTGATTATGGGTGGGAAGGGGGTCAGGCCAGGGGGGTGCTCGCGATCGAGCGATTGGGGATGGAACTCTTTTTTTTTTTTTTTTTTTTTCGCCGAAGAAATAAATATACTGAAGGACCAAGAATAACTCCGCATTGCAAATTATTTAAGGAATTGCAGTGTAGTGCGTGTCCAGGATAACCCAGTGCAGCCGTATGTAATCGTGAATGGAATCGGCATTAAGGAATGTAGGGCGCTGATCTCGGGATGTGGCGTCGGTGATGTTCGATTTGTGTTTAGTAGGCGTATTTATGGTTTCGGCGGTAGTTAGTACGGGTTCAAGAGTGGGTGTAAGAGGCGAGTGATTAAATATGATCTCGTATATATCATGCAGTGTTGGCTCTTTAGAGCACACGTCTGGTCAATGATCGTGCAAGCAACATTATTGATGCTGTGTGTGGGAACGGCTAAATTGGTGCTTGTTTACTTAGAGAATGGTGACTGCGCACGCTATACTGGATTCGCGAAAATGCAACCAAAATTCTCGTTACTGACTGATCAGTGACCAAATAAGTAGTAGATTTGTAAACTACAGTGCCTATACACTGCGCATATCTACGTAATTAACCAACCCCCCATATATACACGGAAAAAAGGGCTCGCCCAAAAATAAACCTCTGCATCATCATGTGCAAATATTAAACAAAACACCAAAGAGAAAAGAAAAAAAGGAAAAAAAAATGAGGCGACGTTCTAAGCAGAAACCGAAAGTCCCAGCCCAGCCTCCTGATCCTGTAGCTCGTCACCACATATATCGCTCCAGGCAGTCTCATCTTCCATGCACCTACCCATCGACAATCGTCAGCCATCAATTACATGAGCCCACATGATGCGTACAAGAAAAACTTACTCAGTCACAACCTCAACCGAGAACCACCTGGACCCACAGAGGCAGTCCTTGACGGCATAAGCAATTTCTACATCGTTCTGAATAGCTTGGGCACCCGGGCCGTCGAGACAGCTCTGGAACGCCTGCCCCATACGCATGCACTGAGGGGCGACGGGGATTTCCGGGAACTCGGGGAACTCGGAGTGTCCGAGCTCGGGGAGCTCAGGGAACTCAAACTCGGGGATAATAGAGGTTCCGACTTCTTGAGGGGTGGGAGTTGGGAGGGCAAGAGTGCCGGTGAAGGCTGATAGGATAAGAGTGGAGAGAAGAAAGATAGAGTGCATTTTTGGAGGTGTGGGTGTGAAAATAGAACGTGTTTTGAGTATTTTGCTTTTTTGTAGGGAAGATCGTTGTTGATTTTCTGGATGGAGTTTCTGGTTGGAGGAGGGTGGAGGCGGGTGGCATGGTATTTATGCAGTGCGATGCTGCAGGTCAGATCAGCACGATTGATGGCTGACGATGATTGAATAATTGCATACTGATCCAAACAGTTTGTCGTTTGTGAGGAAACAGTTAGATCATCGAAAAAGTGCTTAATAGATACTAGCGCAGTAACTGTCATCATGAGCCTATCAACCAATTCAACTAGTTTGTGTCCGTAATTGGATAGTAATAAATTTCTGAGTAGAACGCTAGGCTGTGCATTTCATTGCTCAACTAATACGCTTGTTCTCAAAGATGCGCGCATCTCATCAGACATGTACAGAGAAATGAACACAGATCTATTCAAACCATTCAGATAGGCCGATCGTCTCATCCATATACAGTGAGATTGCTACAGCCTTGAACCAGCGATCACATGTTTGTCTAGTCTTTGATTGATTGTAACGATTATACTCTACGAATTGCGAGCGGCATTCTTGTATAGAGTGATAAATCATGACGCAGCTATTAATGATTGATGACTCATTAAGTATATGCGTGACACAGCTATTAGAGCTCATGATCAATCTTGTGGGAAAGTCCCTTATATCAGTATCGCATTAGAAGCTATAAGAAAACTAGAGACTTTGCACTCGTAGAAGCTTCAGAAGGGCCTACGGGGTTTAGTGAAAGGGGGAAAATTAGAATACACACCACGATACCTCGGCTACAACCAATGACGAAATATCCAATAGGGAGGATAGCACAGTTTCCGGTAGAACCATTGCGAAAGTCAGAGCTAAAAGAGTGGATTTGTTGGTCTGTGCTCGTAGTAAAACCCCTTTTAAGGGCCAATAGGCCTAGGACTATCGGGTCACGGAGAACCCACTTTCGCAATAATTTTACCAGAAACTGTATTGGGGGGTGGACGCCTTAAAGGTACAGACTGCCTTGCTGGGCTCAGAATTATATGTTTACATTGTATCCTTAATGGTAAAATATATACCAATTACTATCTACGGCATGTTGAGTGCCAGAGAAGGACTGGTTAGCTCTTCGTTTGGCGGCGCCTCCTACTAACCAGATTGAAGGAGGGCCTGAATTTGGATGTAGGACTAATATATATTGATTGACGATAATGGGGGTCTCATAGCATGTGCCACAATCTTGGCACCAACATTTGGGGAAATGTTAGTACTGCCGATAAAGATATATATATATTTTGACAACTCCCCATGCATAGAACCAGAGCTTGGCGCGTTTCGTTATATGATTTTCCCCTAAAGCTTAGAACGGTTAATTGCATTTACATGTAGTTGGCTATGCTACTGAGTCTAGAGGTATCCCGTATATATCACAGCAGAACTAGTACTGCGGCAATCGAAGGGCGAATCAGTTGGCGCAGGGGACCCGTCTCTGCGATCTTCTGAGTACATACATGGACAGCTCCTTCATGGGTGGCGTGAAATGACAGCCTGTTTCAGTATATGTGGTTGGACTTCATGCTAGAGTAATGTTGTGTGATCATGAGTGGAGTGTTTTCCTCGTCAGTATATACATGTATGTAACCATCCGGCTGGCTGCACAGTTCCACACGCGGACCGGCCCACAGTTATACATACTATTTCTATACTATTAACAACAGTGGCCCAAAGAAAAGTCGAGATGCTATATACGTTCAACCTAGACCACTTGCCCATGAATTTACCTGGCTGGAAATGATATTTCGACGCCAAGGTTACTGTAGACCTAGGCGATAAGGATAACCGTATGACGACTAAAGCACCCGTAAGAAACATGCACCGCCTATACTTTAAATCGATGTGACCGCTCTTGAACCGACAGCTAGGCAGGGTATCATGGTTTTCATTAATTGTGGCTCCCTCTACGTAGATGATCAAGGATACTGATCCCCGCCAGTACTGAGAACCGGCCCATGCCCAAAGGTTCACAATCCATCACTCGCACTGCACCAGCCACATGGGTTGGCGGCCGTCTTTTGTGCTTGTAGCTGCATACACCGTCTCGCGGGAAGAGAAAAGGGCGGCCTTGGATGGTGTTGATGAAAGTGATCTATGGCTTATGGTGAGAACACTCATTCATGGATCCTCACTCGACAGCAGCGACCACCACCCCCACCAACCCCACCGCACCTCACCCGCTATCATCCATCCTCTACTAGGCAACATGAGCTCGAGGGCTCACCTATGACCAAATCTATAAAGAGTAAGCGGGGTATTCCGTAACCAAAGGTTAGGAAAACCACTAGTATAAAGAAGAGCCCCTGCGCAAAAGTAAAAAAGATTGATGACGCCTCGAACCCCAGTCTCCTCTCTCAGAGCAGTTACACTACGGGCTGACTTTTGAGAGACGTGCTAACCGACTGCACTACCGTGGCTTGGGGACGGACTGTGGAGAGTGTATGATAGACCTAAGATCCCCGGGCGGGAGACGGAATCTGGTTTAACCCCGCCGGCCGGTCTCTGTAACAACCATCCAAGACATCTTTACCAGACGAGTCTATAACTACTAGAAAAGATATACAGCTTGGTTTCTATGATGAGGAAGTAGCCTGTCTGTTGAGGGATAGGATCCCCATCGTTTCTCGTCAAGACCTTACTCTGCGAGGTTGGGTGGCTCTGCCCGTCTGGCTCCTCCTGCCCTACCATAGTCATGGTGATATGATGGAAGGGGATGGAGAGACGATGGCGATAACAGCAATTGGCTGTTTCGTGTGTTTTGTTGGGTGGTTGGGGGACTAAATATCCGTATGTCGAGGAGTTTTATCACAAACAGCCACCGTACGTGTCCCATAGTCGAATCTCCAGATAAAGATGCTGAAATACCACGGGATAGTACTTGCCTTATAATAGAGCAGGTACCGTTATCGTGATTTGGGCGAGAAGGTTTGGGAGGGTCAAATCGTAAGTTAGGGCTTTCTAGCGGGATGGAACGTACCAGGGATAAGATAATGTAGCTAGTTCTTATTAGTAAAGTATGATGAGATATATACGTTACAACAGCTACGTGGTTGTACCCGGTGAAGCGTATGTGGAGAAATGTTGTGCTCATCGAGATACGTTTTAACGAGAAACACCATAACCTAATGGATATTAGCGTTGAAATAACTGGCAATTCATGAGTATTATATTATACATACTAGTGACGCCCCTCCAAGTAGGATACGGACTTGCCAAACAAGCGGCTTTATATCGGCTTTAAGTTCCCCCTGGTTCTTCTCGGTGATCGTTTCTATGCTCCCGAAACCCTGTTCCGTCCTCGAAGCAAGTTCTCCGATAGATTTACTGACATCCCCTTTGAAATTTCCAAGGTCCTACCGAGACTCGTAAGCAGTTTGCATGTATTCTAGGAATTAGAGCCATACCATTGTCAGGGCAGAGACACGATCGTCCAATTTATCGACATGATTCCACTATTACAACCGTTCGTTGGTTGAACCAGTGGCAACTCCATTACATGTAGAATGACTTACCAAACGATCATTGCCACTAGGAACCGACTGATGTTTAGCTTCAGACTCGGAAGCCTTCTGTTTTTGTTCGGCTTCAAGTAAGTCACCCCCATCTCCGGATCCCACGATGAACCCTGAACTGAATACGTTGTTGTGCAATGCGGCGAGTAGCCACACGGACTCCACGTTGTCCAAACAGTCGAAGCATGTTTGACGACGTTAATAAGTAGTCTGGAGTTCTTCGAACGTTGTTGTAACGGAGATGGAGAAATGTACCGATAGAAGGCCATTTAAGCGCTCCCAGGGCCAAGCGTGTTACCCTCTCGCCGCCCGCGCCTTCCCCGGCGCTGCAACTCTTCCACTCGTCTCCACTCATTAGTATTCACAGTTCACAGAACATATAGGCTGCCGCCCCCCACTCCGTGGGGCCCCCCGCTCATACTCTGAACGAAAAAAATTAAAACAAATACAAATACAAACACCTCGGTCGCATCCGACCGTAGACCGTCGCTTAATCGCGACTCTCTCCACAACCGCTCCCTCACGGTCGCTCTCTCAATCCCGCTCGCTTCCACTCGCTCCGACTCCGTCACGTCAACACGATAAAACAAATCTCACGATAATCCACACGATTAGGCTTCGCCCCCCCCGCTTAAAATAAAGTCATACTCTGAAAATACAATCCTCATCACAAGACAGTCAACCCAATATGTCGACGAAATCTGTTCTTTCGCTCATTGATCCTGCCACCCACTGGCAAACCGAAAGCGACGAGAAGATTGTTGATAGCTGTACCTATTAAAGCAATGGGATTAGTATTTGTACTCTATATGGGTGTTTTCTTTTCTCGAGGATCAGATCGCTTACTATCCAACTCATGAATCTGGGCAGTTGTCGCCGGAAAGTTTTGAATTGGTTGACCGTCTCGACCAAGTAGTGCTTCCAAGGCCGTGGCATCATTGGTGACTTTCGAATTAATCATTCTTGCGAAGTTATTGTTGTCTCTATTTCAGTGTCAGTTCTCAACCTCCTGCTATAGGTATACTGAACTGGTGATGTTGGCATACGCTCGAGTAAAGTCTGCACGAAGTCCACGAAACTCACGCAGGATACGTTCTTCCATCCGTAGCATACATTCTTCCATTCGTAGCATATGTTCTTCCATTCGGTTGAGTTGAGCGGCCACATTAATCACTGGAAGGTTTTGCATTTTCTGAATTTGTGTAGCCGCAATTGCTAGCCCGTTGGCTGCTGCTGTGAAATCAGGTTGCTCGGCCATGCTAACCAACTCAGTATTGGACTTCGAATACCCCGGCCGACCTTTCCGTGTTCCGACTCGACGATGGCCACCCTTCTAAATATCAAACGATCGTGGTATTATAGCGTCGTGGTGTTGCAAACGTAGGCGTGGTGGGGTGGTGTTGAAGAATCGGCCAAACAATATATAAAGAATCAAAGGTGTAACTGAGCGTCGCGCACAAAGCCTGCGCTTAAGGGCGCGTTTGGCAACCACCTAAACGGAGGTTAAGACCCCCCAAATGCCGTTATATACAACGGACTTCTCTCAAAACTCCGTTATCTGATAAGTTGGCCTGTTTGGCGAGCCACTTATTGAATTCTGAAACAGCTTTGGGCTGGCAGCCCTTGGCATTATGGACAGTGGCGAGTGTCCAGGTGGCAAACACACCAAAAAAGATACCTCCTCTTTTGCAGGGGGACACACTATCTGGCGAAGTCTGGACTGATGGACAGTCAGTCTAAGGGGGATAGTTAATCGGCGCGTCGCACAAAGCGACCGCCCGTGACCGCGGCCTCTCGCCGCTCACTCTTCAACCTCGCACCCTCGGTTAGTATACACAACCCCGCTCGCCGACGCCGCCCACAACTCCACCTCGCTCGCCGCCGACAAAGTTAGTTCACAGAACTCCAAAGTAAATCTCATGATAGTTTCGCCCCCGGCTTGACCATAAATCAAACTCTGAATAAACGCTCAACTACAAATTATAAATTATAGATACAAACAACAAGAACGCCTCGACCACCGTACAGAGGTTCGCGTTGCTGAGCCCGTTGCTGAGAATCAAGCCACCAAGACTCCAAGCGTTGCAACGTGAAAGGTTGAGCCAAGTTAGGGCGTGGTTCGCTAATAAGACTTGAGTGGTCTTGTTATCTCTCGTTATATCAGACACCCTATTGGCAATACTACTCGTGTGGTTAATTGGGAGCACCAGGTTATCTATAAGCCAAGCTCATCGCGACGTCGGAGACCTTGGGAGTTCTTTTATATACTACATCTGTTGGATTGTTTAGTACTGTTGTCCTGAGGAGAGATTTATTAATAGGGTCGCGGCGTGGATGCTTGTATGTATTTATAATAAGAATCTAATATATTTTCCCAGAGACTGCCAAGACCTATAAATCCACCCCCACAAGCCAGAGGAAAAACAGCGAGTGAGAACCCATGATCGAGCCAGACTGTATTCACCATCTACAAATACAAAGAACTATCTCCATTCACAACTCTCCACCCGTCCCTCCCTCTACCCCTTCAAGAAGGCATTGCACAGCAGCGCACTCGCCACACTCACATTCAACGAGTCCACCACCCTCTCCGTGCCCACCGCCCTCTCCAGCCCCACACAGAACTCACACTCCCGCTTCACCACCTGCCTCAGCCCCTCGCCCTCACTGCCCACCACCAGGCACACCGGGCCCTCCTCCAGCTTGCTGCCCACCTCGCCCGCAACAAAATAGCGCTCCCGCCGCCCCTGCTGCTTCGTCACCGGCGGCACGGCCGCGAAAAAGCTCCACCCGTGCTCGACGCTCGCGCGCACGACGCTCTCGGCGCGCGCGTGCTCGAGGATCGGCAGGAACTCGGCGGCGCCGGCCGAGGCCTTGAGGGCCACGGCGGACAGCGGCGCGCAGTTGCGGGTGGAGAGCGAGACGGCGGTGACGCCGAGGAAGTAGGCGCTGCGCAGGATGGCGCCGAGGTTGCCCGGGTCGAGGATCTCGTCGAGGAGGAGGATGAGCGGGTAGCGCGGCTTGGGGGAGCGCGAGTAGAGCTTGGCGGGGTAGGTGCTGGGGGCGATGGGCGTGTTTGTGGGCGTGTGCTGCGCGAGGGTGAGGGTGAGGGTGCTGCGGGCGGGGGAGACGGGGCCGAGCGCGAGGATGGGGGTTTTGGGGAGCGGGTGGGTCTCGAGGACGTAGCCCTGCGCGGAGAGAACAGGAGTGTCAGTAGATGTGAAAAGCGCGCAGAGCCCAATCAAACACCAGCCGGGAAAGAAGGAAGGAAGGAAAGAAAGGAGAGAGAAAACAAACATTATGCGGCCGACTATCGCTCATGCTATCCAGCACGCCCACATCCTCCTCCCACACCACCTCCGCGCCCGCACTCTTCGCCATCGCCGCCAGCTCGCGGTCCCGCGCCCGCGCCTCCTCCGTGCGGTTGCGCCCCGCGTAGATGTACAGCCTCAAACACTTCCTGCGGCCAGCCTTGAGAGCAGCCTCGACAACGCTCGCGCCGTAGATCCACTCGGCGTCGTAGTCGACCTTGGGGATGAAGCGCCGCGGCTTGGGCGCCCAGTCCCGGTCGGGCGGGGGTGCGTCGAGGCGGGGGGAGGACCGCACGCCGGAGCCGGAGCCGGAGCCGCTGCCGAAGGGGCGGTGTGCGGCGTAGGATGGCTCGGTGGAGGGGTAGGGCGCGGGCGGGGGCGGGGGCGGGCGCGGGGGGCGCTCGTCGGTGCTCCAGGTGCTCCAGGTGCGCGGGGGACGGGGGTCCTCAAATGCCCTGCGGGGAGAGTCTTCGGACCCTCTGCGCGGAGAGCCCCCAAACCCGCCCCGCCGCGGCTCCTCATCGAACACGCCCCGACGGGGCTCCTCCCTCCGCCGCGGCGCCGGCTCTGCAACGTCGTACGCATCCTGCTCCTCCTCGACGCGCCCGCCCAGCGGCGTCCACACGCGCGAGTGCACGCCGCGCGGCGGCACAGTGGGGAAGTCGTCTTTTGGCCGCGGGGGAGCGCCGGGGGGCGTCCAGATGCCGCTGGTGGGCACGGGCGGCAGCAGCGGGCGCAGGTGCGAGCGGGTTATTCGCGGCGCGCCTGTGTGTGGGGCCTCGGGCGGGGAGCGGCGCAGGGCGCGGGCGAGGGCGCTGGGGGGCTTGGGCTTTGTGGAGAGGGGGCGGCGGAGGAGGAGGGGGCGGAGGTGGTGCGGGAGGTGGGGGGGGTGGGGGGGGAGCAGGTGGCGGGCGCTCATTGTGTTGGTGAGGGGGATCGTGGGATTGGGCTCGCTCGCTGGGGGGCGTGGAGTGCGGGGGATTGGGACTGGGCGTGGATGTCGCGGTGTTTGAGGGGGTGGGAAATGATGAGTTTGGAGAGCGAGGAAATGATTGCGGTGCAGGTTAAAATTTTTGGCGTGCGCGGCAAGTTCCGGCGTTGCACAGACGGGAGCGAACGCGTCGTCTCCGAAAGTGAACGTTGAGAGCCGCGCCCGCACGCAGAACGCACGCAGCACGGCCGATCGTCGGGCAACCCAGCGCAGAGCCCGGCAGCGGTAGCGAGCGAGCGAGCGACGATAAGGACGGCTGCTCTCCACTGCACTTCTCTCTCAACTACACTCATTTCACCTCCATCCCCAACCATCTTGTCTCCATCTCCATCTCCATCTTCAGCCATCAACACGAGCAATCTCATCTCATCTCTAGTCCGTCGAGCACTTCCAGCTGGAGCCATTGGGGGGGGAGACAGTGATAGACGGTAGCACACAGACACACAGACACAGATACACACAGATAGACAGCGATAGACGATAGCACACAGACACACAGACACAGATACACACCGATAGCACACAGATAGACAGCTCACACCAAGACACGATACGATAGACTGACTGCACCGCACCCAAGTACTCTCTCCTCCCCACTACTGCTGCATCTCACGCGTTCTCCCCCCACACACATCATTCCACTCCCCCAAAGACACAGCACAAAGCCAATTGCAACCGACACAAACAGCCGCACACACCCAACTGTACAATGTTCGACACAGACGACTCCATGGACGACGCCGACGCCGCCGCAGAAACATACCAGATGATCCGCTACATCCGCGTCCCCACGCTCGCCGAGCTGGGCCTCCGCCGCAGCGACTACGCCGTCGTCCCCTCCACCCCATCATCCCCCGCCTCCGCCAAGGAAGAGTCCCCCGAGCCCCCCGTGCGCGGCCGCGGGGTGTTGAGGATCCTGAGAGAGGTCACGCGGGACGGTGGACTGTGGTACAAGACGCTGTTTGTGGACAGACACACGGAGCTGGTGAGTGCGGATTGTGCATTGTGGATTGGATTGGGGGTTGTGGATTGTGGATTGTGCTGACGGGTGTAGGTGCCGTTTACGGAGCTGATTGGGCTCGAGGGCGGCCCCATGGCGCTGGAGGAGCTGGGCGACGAGCCCGTGCCGAGACCGCCGCCGTCGACGTCGGGCCATTCCCGGAGTGGCAGAGCTGCGGCGTTTTCGTATCGGGACGCCGAGGAGGACGACGAAGATGACAAGTCGGAGCAGGAAGAAGAAGAAGACGAGAAGGAGGAGCAAGAGGAGACAGACACCACCTCTCGCCGCGGATCCTCGCGCCAGCACGACCCCCCCGAACGCGAGCTCCGCCGCCGCCGCGTCGCATCGCTGGCCTCCATGCGCAAAGCCGCCGCCGCCGCCGAACGGAGCCCCACCCCCGAGATCTCGGAGGACGAGCTCGCATCGCCGGTGAAGGCCGGGCCCGCAACACGCAGGACCCGATCAAAGCCGCTGAGGCAGGCGGCGATGCTGCCGTACAGGGGACAGTCCCAGGCCGGCCCGGCATACGACTCCGAGGACGACCTGGTCGTGTCGGACCTGCAGCCGCCGCCACGACAAAGCCGCAAGCGCCGTGCGTCGCAGCTGCCGCGCGGGGGTGCCCGCGGGAAGAGACGGCAGGTGGAGGGGTCCGACTATGAAGAGGAGGAGGCGACACGCATGAGCGCCCGGGTCACGAGGCGCGGCATGTACACGGAGCCGGGCATCGACGACGACTACTACATAGAGGCCGACCCGCAGAAGCCGGGCCGCCCGCGCGCCGTCCACAGCAAGGAGGTCTTCCCGCTCATTGAGCCCAAGACCAGCTTTGGCCGCAAACACACGCAGTACTGCGAGACGTGCATGACCAGCGGGCCGTCGGGCAGCAGAGGGAACCTGGTCTACTGCCAGGGCTGCTCGGCCGCGTTCCATGTCGAGTGCATCGGCCCCCGCTCAACCCGCATGCACCTCGTCACTAAGACCGCGGACGACGACTTTGTCATGCAGTGTAGGCGCTGCATCAACCTGGCGCGCAAGAAGGACCCGACGGCGCCGGACGGGGCCGCGTGCCAGACCTGCCACGAGCAGGGCGCGGCCTGCATGCCCTTCAGCATACCGCCCGGCAACGGCAAGAAGAAGGGCTCGGCCGAGGCGACGCCCGATGCGGACGTCGATGCGGACCTGCTGTATAACCCGGCGCTCGTACTGTTCCGCTGCATGCACTGCAAGCGCGCATGGCACCCCGAGCACCTCGACGACGACGCCGACGCCCGCGCCTTCCGCTGCGGCGACTGCGCGGCGCACACCGCCAAGATCCAGACCATCCGCGCGTGGCGCCCCACGGGCACACCCCCCCCCACCGCCACCCCCGCCCCCGCACACCTGGACATCGCAGACTACACGGAGGACGACAGGGAGTACCTCGTCAAGTTCCAGGGCGCATCGTACTTCCGCGCCGAGTGGCTGCCGGGCCCGTGGGTGTGGGGCGTGGCCCTGCAGATGCGCGGCCACTTTGTGAAGAAGAGCCCGCTGATGGCGTGGACCACGGAGGCGGCCGTGCCCGAGAGTATGTTTAGGATTGAGATTGTCTATGATGTGCGGTACACGAGCTTTGTGCCGACGGGCCGCGAAAGAGATGTGGATGTGGCGAGGATTGGGGAGGTGTGTGAGGCGCTGGTGAAGTGGCAGGGGGGTGAGGGCGGCGATGTGGTGTGGGAGGTGCCGCCGGCGGAGCCGAAAGGCCGTGGGAGGCGGCGGGCGAAGAGGATTGTGGAGCTTGACGCTGGTGGGGAAGAGGAGGGGGCGGAGGAGGAGGAGGTGGTGGAGAGTAATGAGGTGGGGAGGTGGGAGGACTGGAGGAAGGCGTATGAGGACTTTGTGGCGGGGCATTATGTCCACTTGCCGAAGCGTACGGCGAAGCGCAGGGAGATGGTTAGGGGGAAGAGCTTTAAGACGTTTGAGAAGAAGGAGCAGCCGAGTTATGTCGTTGGCGGGAAACTGATGAAGTATCAGATGGACGGGATGAAGTAAGTCACTATTCTAAGGTCAATGATTGGTTTTACAGGAATGCTAATGGGTTGGATTATTATTATTATAGTTGGCTATACTACAAATGGCACCAAGGCCAGACCTCCATCCTCGCCGACGAAATGGGCCTCGGCAAGACCATCCAGATCATCTCCTTCCTCTCCATCATGGTCAACGACCTCTCGCTCTACCCCTTCCTGATCGTCGTCCCGCACTCCACGGTGCCCAACTGGAAGCGCGAGATCCAGAACTGGGCGCCGTCCATGCGCGTCGTCGCCTACTACGGCTCTTCCGAGTCCCGCGCGCTCGCCCGCAAGTACGAGCTCTTCCACCAGGGCACCAAGAGCCTCAAGTGCCACATCGTCGTCACGTCGTACAGCACGCCCGTGTCGGACAGCCAGTACCTCAGGGGCATCCCGTGGGAGGCGCTCATCGTGGATGAAGGCCAGCGGCTGAAGAACGATGAGAGTCTGCTGTATAAGGCGCTCGACGGGTACAGGATTAGGCATAAGGTGCTCATGACGGGCACGCCGCTGCAGAATAACCCGAGGGAGCTGTTTAACCTGCTGCAGTTCCTGGACCCGGGGCTGGACGCGAAGGAGCTTGAAGAAGAGTATGGCGACCTGGACAGCGAGAAGGTCCGCCGGCTGCATGAGCTCATCAGGCCCTTCTTTTTGCGCAGGACGAAGAGGGAGGTGCTGGCGTTTCTGCCGCCGATGGCGGAGGTCATTGTGCCGGTGACCATGTCGAGCCTGCAGCGGAAGCTGTACAAGAGTATCCTGGCGCAGGACCCCGTGCTGATCAAGAGCATCTTTAGAAACCCGGGGGATAAGAGCAAGATGGGGAATCTGCGGAACGTGCTGATGCAGCTGCGGAAGGTGCTGGGGCACCCGTTCTTTTACAGCGATGCCATTGAGGACCGCGGGTTCGACCAGGAGACGCTGCACAGGAACCTCATCGAGGCCGGCAGCAAGCTCGAGCTGCTCAACATCATGCTGCCGAAGCTGAAGGCGCGCGGCCACCGCGTGCTCATGTTCTCGCAGTTCCTGGGCATGCTGGACGTCATGGAGGACTTTTTGGCGGGGCTGGGGATGGCCTATCAGCGCCTCGACGGCGGCACAAACACCCAGGAGAAGCAGCGGCGCATCGACGCGTTCAACCGCCCCGGGTCCAAGGACTTTGCGTTCCTGCTCTCCACGCGCGCCGGCGGCGTGGGCATCAACTTGGCCACTGCGGATACGGTGATTATTCTCGACCCGGACTTCAACCCGCACCAGGACATCCAGGCGCTCAGCCGCGCGCACCGCATCGGGCAGAAGAACAAGGTGCTGGTGTTCCACCTCGTCACGCGCGACACGGCCGAGGAGAAGATCATGCAGATTGGCAAGAAGAAGCTGTCGCTCGACCACCTGATCATCGAGCGCATGGGCGCCGAGGGCGCCGACGACGACCAGGTCGACGTTGAGAGCGTGCTGCGCTTTGGCGCGCGCGCGCTGTTTGAGGACGAGGGCGCCCTGGAGGAGAGGCGGATTAGGTACGATGAGGAGGGCGTGGAGCGGCTGCTGGAGAGGAGTGCGGTCGAGGAGACGAGGACGCAGCACACGGAGGGCGCCGAGGCGAATGCGTTTAGCTTTGCGCGCGTGTGGGCGAGTGAGAAGGGGGCGCTGGAGGAGGGCGGCCTCGCGGAGAGCGGGGCGGAGGAGGAGGAGGAGGTGGTGGATGTGGGCTTTTGGGATAAGTTGCTGGCGGAGCGGGAGGAGGCGGCGAGGGCTGCGGCGGCCGCCGCGGCGGAGGAGCTGGGCAGAGGGAAGAGGAGGAGGAAGGTCGACTATAGCGCGCCCGACGATGAGTATAACCACACTACTAAGACGGCCGCGTCGGGGACCGAGGACGATGGGGAGTTTCGCGATGAGGAGCCGGACGCGCAGAGTGAGAGTGATGCGGAGATGGGCGTGGATCTGGGCGATGGCCTGGACGGCCTTGAGCTGCAGGAGCGCATCGCGAAGTACCATGAGCGCCAGGCAGCGGGGAAGAAGCTGGCTGCGCCGCCGAGGTTGCCGGGGCCGCCGGGGACGGGCGTGTGGATGCCGTCACCACCACCACCGCCGCCGCCGCCGCCGCCGCAGCAGCAGCCTAATAACCACCACCACCGCCACCACCAGCCCGCGTCCCCCCCAGCACCGGCCGTACACCGCCCGCGGCCCCGTCCCAGCACGGGGGCGTTTCAGCGCGTGGAGCTCCTCCCGCTCACCGATACCCCGGGAGAGCCGAAGTGCAAGGCGTGCGGCATGCACCATCCGCGCGGCGAGTGTAAGCTGAAGGTGATGGGGGCGGAGTATTGTCCGCTGTGTGGGCTGGCGCATTTTGGGAAGCAGCCGGGGCTGTGCGCGCATTTGGGGAGTGAGGGGGCGCTGACGGCGATGTTGAGGGCGCTGAGGGAGAGTACGGAGGATAGGGCGCTGGTGAGGGAGGCGAAGGCGTATATTACGGGGAGGAAGGGGGGGGTGAAGAGGAAGAGTACGGGTGCGGGGGCGGCGGTGGGGAAGAAGGAGTAGTTTGGGGGGGGGGGGGGGGGAAGGAGGTAGTTAGGAATTAGGGTTTTTTTCTTTTTTTTTTTTTTTTTCTGTTTGGCTCTTGTTTGTGAAGTGCTATGCGTTACGCATGATGGTGATGATTTGGTGTGGCTTTTCTACGTTCTTCTGGTTTTTAGTGTTATTATCCTTTCTTGCTAGTTTTTAGTATGATGGCCATGGCGAGTGTGGGACTGCACTACACTCATACAGTAAGTAGTTTGCATTTGTGGAAAAGGCCGGTTTAGACCATTCATATTCGGAGGTTAATTGGATGTGGCATTGTTAGCATTAGTTGGTATTATTATTCCCGTTTCCTTTTCTTTTTCTTTTTCTTTTCTCATCGTTTTTTTTTTTTTTGATATCTTCTTTTGCTATGTACCTTTTTTTTTTCTTTTTTTTTCTCGCTTTTCTTTACACTGTAGTACACTACACCGAGTTTCCTCTTACTGCTCTTACTGCTATATTCCTATCATTACATTATACCGCCGTTACTATTACTGTTACTATACTACCTACTGTACTCATATCACTATACTACTACTATTATTATTATTATTATTAGCTATTACTTATTACTACATGTGCTTCTCGTTCTCGTTCTGGTCGGTTTGTGAATTCAACTGTACATGTACTGAATGGCTGACTGTACGACATGATGATGCTTGGAAAAAGAACGGGATTGAATGAAGCTTTGGAATGGCTGTCTGTGCCTTGAGTGTTTGAGTCGATCTGTTCGACTGTCTGCAGAAACGTAGAGCCGTTTTCGTGAAGGGGCCCGGGGGGGGGGGGGGGGGGGGGGTCGACGTCAATTATTGCTCGCGGCGCCCACGGAAACCAATCACTTGCGAGGTCGAGGTCGGACATGGGGGGAAATCTTTCTAGCTCCCTGGATGGGGGGTTTTCGGGTTTGTAGGGAGGTGGTTGTGGTGTAGTTAACTTGATGTTGTGGTGGAGAGAACCTTGGTAGGTAGATTCTCGACCCAGCTACGGCCGCACCTCGCTGTAGGTTACTGGACGTGCATAATCGGGCGCGACTCGTTCCTTGTAGCAAAAAAAAAACATTTCCTTACAGCAAATTTTTACCAAAAAAAAAGGGTTAGGGTTTCTTCATGCGGTTTTCCCCCGATTTTTGGGTCCCTTTTTTTTGGGTCCCTTTTTTTTGGGTCCCTTTTTTTTGGGTCCCTTTTTTTTGGGTCCCTTTTTTTTTTGGTGGTGCTCACCAGTTTTTTTTTGGTAGTAGTTACAAGTGGACTCTCGAACATGAGTAAAGATACCTATATTGTGGTTGGTTGTGGGGCTCCTGCGATCACTGGGGGAAAAGAGACCCATCAAGGTGGGGAAAAACATAAAAAAAATATGGAAAGATTAAGCAAACACTTCATTAATCACTGGCTGTAGCGATCGTAAAATAGTTGAGGAATTTCAAGAAAAATTTGGGGAGATCAGGTAAAAGTTTATGTTCAAAACCGAGTGAGAATTTCTTACAGTAGATTCGGTTTGCATGGGAACAGGGGTGTTTGATCTGGCCATTCTCATCCACTACACTATAGCTACTTTTTTTTTCCCCCTTATATCAAGGTATTTTTGCTGGGGAAAAACAAGCCTCAAATCTATTTCCTTATAGCAAATATTCCTTACGCCAGGGCTCCGTAAGTTGAGGTGTGACTGTACCTACATATATACTACGTAGCTAGTATACTTTTGGGCTTTTTATCACTACCAGATATAGAGACAATGGCGGGAGACCGAGAATGATTCGAAGAGATTACTTGGGCTGACTTAATAATAAGATAGCATTGTTTATCCTTGTGTTATGAAAACCTCAAATCGCCTATTCTGCACCCTTCACGAAAGCTTCTGGGTAAGGGCGTTATGTACATGTAGGCGTGTATGTATATAAGCGTGTTGGTAAAAAAATAACGAACTTGAATCAACGTCTGAGTGCCTGAGTGTATATGCTCTATCTAAAAGGCTAGGCCATAGGGCTCGGCCGGTTATGACTACTAGTATATTGTACAATCCCGATGACACAATATCACAGAGAGTATGTACCGTACATGTAGGTACGGACCCAGTTAGGCCTGTCCCAATGATTTGTGGCACGTGATTGGTCCAATTTGGGCGGTGTATTCTATGTTGGTAAGAACACAGACAGAAAGAGGATCCATTGGCTATGGTTCTTCTCCCTGGACCCGCGGGGAAAGACGCAAAGCTTTTCTAGCAGGTACGTACATGTACTTTATCGGGAGTGTTGGTACTCTAGACTAGATACCCGGGGCAGCAGGCAAAAAGTACCTACAGATTTGTCTCTGGGCTCTTTTAGCGGTACTCGTATTTTCCTGACGTTTGTGAAAGGAACCACTATTGCATACCATACAGATACGCGCCAAGTCCACAATTTAGTATGGCATGCAATAGCAGTTCCTTTACAAACGTCAGGAAGATACCACCATAACTCGAAAAACTGGCTAGATCAAAATACTTCTATGGGAAACTTCTTATGCAGATGGATGCCATTCAACCAATCACTCGAATGGTAATCCCTGGACGGAGATAGCCAATTTTTCGAGTTTTGGCGGTATGAGTAGTTGACACCTAGCGCGCGCAGACGTTGGTGCACCAGAAACCTGCATTGTCCGGTTCTGCTGCCCCGAGCATTGAGGACCCGGGTTTGAAATTCTATTGGGGGGGGGGGGGGGGGGATGCGCATACCGAGCTTCCAGAGATCAAAGTTACTTGTATGGGAAACTTCTGATGCAGATCGATGCCATTCAACCAATCACTCGAGCGATAATCCCTGGTCGGAGATAGCCAATTTTTTCGAGTTTTAGCGGTAGATATGCGTTTTGAGAAGTTCTTCTTTTTCTTCTTCACGCGGGTACTCTGCGGTAGGGCGGTGGGTGGGCGGGCGGTAATGTACCTACGGTAGAGTAGGTACGTACCCGCAGCGCATGCTGTCTGAGATTGACAGTGAAGTGGCTGGTTGGTAGGGTAGAGTAGGTAGAGCAGTTGGGTGGGGTGCCTACCTGGGCTGCATGGGAGTTCTGGATTGGCGGTGGAGTGAATGGCTGGTTGGGTGGTAGGTGGAGGGCTGCATGGGAGAGTTCTAGATTTTGGGGTGGCCTGGTTTGAAGGGACCAGAAAAATGCAATGTTCTACATACACATGAGTACTTACGCTCTACGCTGGGTAACATATTAGAGTTGCTTTATTTCGCTATTTTTAGGTAGGCCCTTTGGGGGGGGGGGGGGGTTTAGTTTTTCCGTTGATGCTGTCGGTGCTTGTTGGCCGGTTTGTGGCCGGCATAGCTATCATTGGCCCATGGGCGTGGGAAAATGATAGTGGGAGAAGTGCGTCCAAGCGTCCGCGAGTTGGTCGTGTTTCTTTTTTATTTATTTTTTGAGATCTCCGGATTGTGTCTATCATGCAGAGGATAATATCGGATAAGAGTTCTTTGTTGGTGGGGCATAGTGGGGGGGGGGGGGGGGGGAAGGGGGGAGAGGGAATTCGAAAAGAGAACAAGGGGATTGATGCTGTTCGTGGAAATTCTGGTAATTGTTGTTCTCTCTCTCTCTCCTCCTTTGTTGATGGTTGGATGGGGAGTGATGATAATATATCATTTCTGAGGCGGAGGCGGAGGTTTGTGGCCAGTTAGTTGGGTGGAATGGGGGAGGTGCAGCAGAGGGAAGGTGTTCGCAGGTGAGGAGACTTGGCACTGACGCAGAGAAGCAAGAAGCCTGGGAAGTGAGTGGTATCATAGCTACTGTCACAGAGGGAAGAAAAGAGGAGAGTGGGGGATAGGGAAAGGGGACGCGGCTGCATACATGCATGGAAGGGGAAGAAGAGCTAGAGGGAGAAGAAGAAGAAGAAGAACACAGCAGCGGCTATGAGTGCATACTAAAGTTAGCGAGTGCGGAGTGAGTGAGCGAGTGAGTAAGAGGATATTTGATCATTGATTGCTTGCCTTGATTATTGCGGCCTGCCATCATCTCCCCCTACAGTAGCTAGCTTTACAACACCCACTACCTCCACCACACACACCCCCCCCCTCCCCCTCCCTCCACCTCCCCCCCCTTCCTCTGCTGCTGTTCGTGTTCTGAAACGTTCTATCCCTCTCCCCTTGCCCTATCTCTAACAGCGCTCTCTCCATCCCTATCCCTATCCCTACATACAAGTACTTATCCACATTTGACATACATACACTCAGCCTCTATCCGCTATCTATCTCCCTGTGCAGATACATAGTAGCAAGATCTTAAGAGGTAGCTAAGCTAGCTAGCTGTAGCGTTCCCACATATCTCTGCTGCCCAGTGCTGCTACTATTACATACTCTACACTTGCACACAGAATCTGTTGTACTCAGACTCTACTAGTGCTAGTTGCTTCCTGCTGTCACTCTTAGGAAGTAACTAGCCTTACCTACATACATCATACACAATATCTGTACTCTACTCAAATCTGCAGCTCTTTTTCTTTTCTTCTCGTCCCCTCTCCTCTCCCCTTCCTTCCTTCCTTCCTTCCTCCTCCTCGACTCCTGCGTCCCCAGCTTGAGATTCTATCCCACAAGCTCATCTTCCATCTCCAACCCGGCCAGCCATTAAGAGCCTGCGTCCCGCACCTTCCCTCCTCCCTCTCCCCCGAGAAATATTTTTTTTTCCTCATACAACGGACACTAGCACTACTTCACTCCCGCCAGTAACGGACATTCCAATATCTAATTGTCAATCGATCCGCACCGTCCTATCCTAGCTACTACTACTACCACCACTACTATATCTGCTACTACTATCATATAATTCTTTATTTTACTTTTTTTTACTTCTTCTTCTTCGCCACCGCACAGAAGCACAGCAGCACAGCAGATCTAGAAAGCCTGTCTGTTTTCTCGCTCACACACTCTCTTTTTTTTTCTTTTTCCTTTTTTGTTTGGATTGTGATTGTGATATTTTTCTTCTTCCTCCTCTCTCTTTTTTTTTGTTACTTGTTATGACTTGACGAGCCTACGAAAAAAAGAAAGAAAAAACCTACATCCTTAAGCTTATTTTAATCGATCCGCCGGGACAAAAGTTCACGAGAGAAAAAAAAAAGAATCAAAAACCCACTGGGCCACCCCCCCTCTCTCTCCGACCCACAGCTTCTTCTAAAATTTGAAATTCTCATAAGAAGGGATCCTTTTTTTATTTCTTACCTTCGTCTGACGATCTCTCTGCCTTGACCTTGCTCCTCAATCGTTTGCTGCTCATTCGATACAAGCAAGTTACAACACCCCCGCGCGCGCACACCACACACGCCGCTCGCTGTCATTAACCTTTTCTCCCCATTAACAACCTTTGCTGCGGATAAAACAACTAACTATAAATCCACTTCACTTCACCACCCTCCCACACACCCAACAAACCTTCATTCCAGCCCCTCTCCCTCGCGCGCTCCACAGAATCCGCCGCAGCGGTTCTATCTCTCCCCCCCCCCCCTCTCAAAAGCAGAAATCCCCACCAAAGCGAATCATGCCTAGTGTCTCGCGCCGCAAGAATCCGATCGTCTCCCGCCGCAGAGGCAAAAAGGAGGATGAAGATGAGGAGCTAGGTGTTGAGGAAGACTCCTTTACTGACGACTCGGGAATCAGTGACGATGATGCTGCGACGGAGGGGTCACTGACTGATGATGAGGGCGACGAGGCGGACGAAGGGGGCCCGGTGGTGGTCAACGGCGCCGGGGATCAGCAGCAACAGCAGGCGAAGGGGAATGGGAAATCTGTCCTTGTCGTTGGGAAGGCGCTGAAGGGCACCAAGGTGCATGCGGTGAGCGGGGAGACGGAGATGATGCTGAATGGCATGCGGGGCACGGAAAATGCGGAGGTCGTGGAGTTCACGGACATGAAGGAGGAGGAGGAAGGAGAGGGCGAGGAGGGTGCTACGGAGGCGACGCCACAGGACCAGGGAGGCACGGAGGAGGAGGCGCCCCAGGATGGGAAGACACCAGAGAAGCCCCAGGATAAGAGGCGTGGGGACCACGAGGATTACAAGAAGCGCAGAGACGCCGACCCAACGTTTGTACCCAACAGAGGAGGGTTCTACCTACATGACCATAGGCATGCGGAAGGGAGCAATGGGTTCAGGCCTTTTAGAGGTGGTGCAAGAGGTGGCAGAGGAAGGTACTCTGGGTATGTAGATGAAGTTTTCAATTCTTGAGTAACTCAATTACCGTGCTTTCAGGGACATGGGCTGACATTTTAGAAGTGACTTTGCTCCGCAGCCAACACCTTTGGAGCAGCAGTGGCAACACGATATGCACGAGGAGGTACACCAGGAAGTACGCCGTCCGCAACCGGCCTACCAAAATAATAACAGCAATAATAACAACAATCAGCCCTTTGCTGGGAACCGCCAACGCGGAGGTGGAGACACGCCGCGGTCCTTTGGACGGACGGTTTATAAAGGAACCGTGCAGATCCAGGTTCATCTTCCAGAGATGAAGGATCCCATAGTCTTTAGTGAGGTTCCTTCAAAGGTTTACACAAGGCTCCCGTACCACCGGCCTCCACTGCGCAGAGATAAGCCAGTCAGGATTGCTCTTCCGGATGCTCCTGTACGGTACATCTATCCGAGTCCTACCAGGTCGTTCATATTTATCCCCAGAGCTATGAGGCCTGGGGGTTCTGGATATATCAGAGGCGGGGGAGCTCGGGGTAGAGGAAACTTCTACAGCCAGGGAAGAAGTGTGTACGGAGGTTCCACTAACTATTCACCTTCAGTGGGTATGTCGAGAAGATCCTCTTTGCAGCACGAGGTCAGGCCCATAATTCAGGCAGCAGGTCAGGTTACGCATCAGCAGCATCAGCATCAGCAGCAGCAGCAGCAGCAGCACCCACATCCTCAACAGTTGCAGCAGCAGCACCAACAGCAACAGCAGCCGTCGCCACAAAGCCAATCACAGGCCCCAACCGCTATTGTTGATGCATCTTCGTCGAGGCCTTTGGAAGAAACCCCAACAAGGCCTGTCGTCAAGCTTCCAGGTGGACCTGGTACGCCTAAAATGCCAGCAGTGCAGCAGCAGCAGCAGCAGCAGCAGCAACTACAGCAGCAACTACCAACAGCAGTACCTCAAAACACAGGCCAAGCCCCGGCTCAGGCGCTCACTCCCAAGGTGGTACCCCAGCATCCGCCGCCATCGTACACCCCGTCAGTGAACCCTATTCCATACCGTGAGCATAGGGCTACACCAAAGATCCCTATGCATCAGCCACGCCCTCAAAAGGCTGTTAATGTTGCTGAGATTGATTCGCCGGCAGTTATGCATTACCAGGGATACAATGGCGTCTATCCTGAGAATATCCCCACACCCAATCTCCCACAAAACATGTACGCCCATTCTAGGCATCCGTCCTACCCTTCGCAGACATCGGGAACACCACTTTCGCACATCCCGGAAGGCGCTGTCCACGCTAGATCTTTCCACCCATCCCAATATCCGCCACAGGGAGGCTACTACCCATACCCCCAGCAGCCAATGATACACCCAATGCCCCACCAGCAGCCCATGCACCATGATCCCCGGACTTTTGTCCCCCCACCACCCCCGTATGTTCCTTCTGGTCCTTCGCCCATGCCAAATGGGGCTCCCGGCCATTATGTCATGCACCCTGTCCAACCGCATCAACCCCAGCCGCCTGTGCCATCCGCCACACCTTCTGGTCCCACTACGATTGCGCAGGAGAGTAACGGAATGGTCTTCTACTCGACTGTTCCAAACGTTCCAGCTTGGGACCCGAACCAGTACTACTATCCCACGGCAGTCACCCCAGGGCCGGATGGCCCCGTGAATGGTGTGCCCACGAACGGGGCGGTGTACTATTATCCTCCGGGCCCTCCTCCCCAGCAGCAAGGCGTCTACTATGCTCAGTAGATGGGTTTTTTCTTTCTTTTTCTTAGTCCTATTACAGTCATTTTGTTTGTAGTCTGCGGTTTACTTACTTTGGTTTGCTGTGGTATCGTCTCGGATTTTCCCGCTTTTGGTTGTATGCGTCGTTATTTTTGATCGCATTTTTTTTTTTTTTTTTTTGATGTCTTGTTTTGAGACTTGTATGAGGTTGACTGATTTTCATGCGTTTTGACCACGAAAGAAAAAAAAAATCTCGTTTTTATCTATTTTTTTTGGCACGAAAGGATTAAAGGGCTTTTTCTTTTCTTTTCTCTACCTCCATCTACTACTAACCACTGCATTTTTCTCTTTTTCCCTTGTCAAATGTTTCACGTTCCTGGGTTGGACGGACATCTCGAGGATCTTTTTCCTTAAGTGCACTTGTAACCTTTTTTTCTTTATTCTATCTCAATATCAATACTCTTACTCTTTAGGAACCGCTTTCCCCCCCCTACCGATCGTTTCCTCTGATCTTTCTCCTTTCCTTTCCGGTTTTTTTCTTTCTCTCTTCCATATTCCTCGGGTATTCTGAATAAAAAAAGGGTGGCGGGGTTGTTGTGCATGCGTAATAGAAGCCTGGGTTCCTTTTCTATTCTTCTTTCTATTTCATTCTGCGAATCTCACCTACCCATCAGGGTTTTTTCTTTTACGCTTTCAATTTTTTATGTCTGGTCTGGTTGGGTGGGTTGGGTCAGGTTGATTTGGGCGGACAGCGGTTGGGATTATTAATTTTATCTTGAGCTGTGTGTGTGGAATCTTCGAGTTGTTTTGAACTGTGTTTGAAGTAATGTGAAGTGTAGTCAGTTTGTGGGAGGCCTGGTGATCGGCGAGCCCTTGACTTGAGGTTACTTGCTTACGACGTCTGCGCGTACTCTCGGATTTATGACTTCGGGCCTGATTACATATGTGTGCCTACTTGCTCGGTTGAGCATGTCTGACTGGCAGCATACATAACTGGCAGAAAAGTAGGCGGCGGTGTATGTACGTAGAGTTAAGGAAAGAGGTTCGAGCCTCGTTAGAGTCAAAGTTTGTTTCCCTTGTGGTTGGGTGATTACCATCCATCCAGATGCACCGATTTTCGATTTCGATTCGCAGCTTTGCCGTTATGCGGGTTACGTATGTCCGTGGTTTCTGGTTGGATGCCTGAGAATATGTGATGAGGCTCTTTTTGTAATTTTTTTTTGTGTGTTTTATTGTGGGTCTTGTGGATGGCGAGAGAGGCGAGGCGAGTGAATAGAGAGAGAGGAGCGTCCACTCGATACACGCACGAGATTCAAGTATACCTACATGTAGAGATGCTAGATGGTTACAGTGCCTGCGGGATTCGATAACGATAAGGGAATATTTCCCGGCTCGGCTCTCGCCCGCTGGAGTTTAGGCGCGAATGATCTGGTCGTGTTTCCAAAGAGGTTTAAAGCAGCGGTGGGGGGTGGAGGGGGGGATGGGGAGGTCAGTGAGGATGGTGAGGTGAGTAGAGGTGGGGATTTGCGTAATGGGAATTTTTGAGCGGAAGGGAAGGTTCCTTTTTCGTCACCGCTCACTCTCTCGATGCTTGCCTGCCTTGCCTCTTACGTTACGGGGATAGGGTAGACTCACATAACTTGGGGTTTGGAGGCGAGACTACCACTTTGTAAGGTACATGAGGTAGGTATTGGGGTCGTGCTGCTGAGTACCGCCGCTACAAGAAGATCTGTCATACCTACACTTACCTTGCCTGCCTTAGAGTCAGTACTCACCACACACGTCTTCTACCCCAACCTTCCTCCCTTCCTCTTCCTCTCTCTCTTCCCTTCTTCTTCTTCCTCTTCTCTCTTTCACTCTTCAACTCCTCCACTGCTGCTACACCTCACAACAAGACAACCCACCCACTCACCCACACCCCGACCTGACCCCCCCCGGTTACCACCTGCAGCAGCTCAGTGTAACGGTACATAACAAAGTACTATCGTCATGGCTAGCCACAGCACTCTACCACCCGATACTCTCATCACTGCGAAGGTCACCATTGGAAACCAGACACGTCGGTTCAAGCTCGCCCTGAGAGACCTTGGTGCGAATGTTCTCCCCCATAAGGTACTTTATTTCTTTTCGTTCTCTTCTCCCCCATCTCCTTTTTTTGTGTGTTTTTGTTTTTTCTAGCCTGCCCACGTTCTCGCTTGTTGCGGTTGGTCCTATGTTGCTACCTTCAGGCAACCAACCCCCGACTATCATCATCGGGTCCACATGACGCTAATGGGATGTGTTGCGTATCGGTGTAGCTCCACGAGTTATTGGTGATTCCGGAAGACCAGACTGTGGTCTTTGAGAGATACTCAGATAGCGCGGGAAGCTATGTCACGCTCGACCCGAAGAACCCGGCTGTCTACAAGCAGCTGTACAGAGCTGCCAAAGCTAAGCTAAAGCTGAGGTTTAAGGCTACAATTATCTACCAAGGTGCCGAGGGGAGTGGTGCGTTTTTTTTCCCCCCTCCTTCCTTTTCGGTTCATTTTACTTGATAGCTAACCGGCAAAACAGTTGCTTCTGGAGGTAGCTCGTTTGTTACTACCGAGATTCGCCCCTCGCCACCGGCTTACCGCTCAACCACTTCGCTTGTTTCGCCACCTGCTGTCGCCACACCGGAGCCGGAGACCCCGGCTTCTGTTGAGGTCTCTCCTGCCCAGCTCGATAAAGCTGTGGCTGACGCTGTCTCGTCATTCTTGAATGGCGAGGAGTATCTTGCAAAGTTGCGCGAGACGGTCCGCGAAGAGGTTGAGAAGCACGAGAAGGAGGCCCCAGTTCCGGCTCCGTTTGCTGCTCCCGAGACGGCCCCCTCTGTGGTTTCGGAGGTTCTTGATATCAAGTCCCCGGCTTTCACTTACGCCATCTTCTGTGACTCATGTGATGGAAACATCTATGATGTGCACTACCACTGTGGAATATGTGACAAAGGAGACTACGATCTCTGCCAGGCTTGCGTCGGACGTGGAACTCACTGCAAGGACTCTTCTCACTGGTTGATTAAGCGTACCTTGACCGGTGGAACCATCGTATCCAGCGTCACAGAGTCAATCAAGGCAAAAGCCCCAGAACCTGCTGTCGAAGAGAAGGAGGAGGAGCCTGAGCTTACACGTACTTGCAACTGTTGCATCGTTGGTATGTATATCAACTACATCCCTGTTTTGATTAATGCTTACAGTTCCATGCAGTTCTTCCTGAAAGGGAGTTTGTCAGCTGTGTTCAGTGCTCCGATTACGACCTTTGCCTTAATTGTCACGTTGCTGGCAAGCATGGACACCACCCTCGCCACGAGTTCGTTCCCGCCACATCCGAGACCAAGCTTAGTGCCCATGAAACCAGTCTTCTGGCCCCTGGAAGGAATTTCTGCCACTTTGCTCGCTGTGATGGCTGTGATGGTGTAAGTGATTAAAAAAAACATTCAGAAAAAACTCCGTATACTAATTTAGATATAGAAAATATACGGCGTTAGACATAAGTGCATGAGCTGCCCCGACTGGGACTACTGCTCCAAGTGCATTGTCACTGCGCCACTCAACCACCATGGACATCGCTTTGTCCCCATTTATGACCCACTTCCTACTATGGATATGAACACCAGAAGAAACACAGCCAAGCACTACGGTGTTTACTGTGATGGTCCTCTGTGTGCCGACAAACACCGTCGTAGTTGGATCGATGGCGACAGGTACAAGTGTGCTGTCTGCCCTGATACCGATTTCTGTGCGTCGTGTGAGGCCTCGCCCATCAACACCCATAATGCGACACATCCTCTTATCAAGCTCAAGTCCCCTATTCGCAACGTTCACGTCACAACCCTTGAGCCAGATTCACAAAACTCTAGAGTTATGGGTGATGGCCATTATAACCCACCTGCATCTACCTCCAACGCTGCCACTCAAGTGCAGACTGTTGTAGATGTTAAGCCTACAGAAGAATATGTGCCTGCCCCGGAAAGCAGCGTTGGAGAGTCTGAACACATCGAGCATGTTGAGGAAGAGAAGCCACAAGAGCCCCTTCAGGCCAGCTTCATCTCTGAGGTTGTCAAGGACGGTGCTATAATGGTCGCTGGCTCAAATTTCTCACAGACTTGGCAGTTGGTAAACAGCGGCCCAACTTGCTGGCCCGCCGGTGTTCAGCCCCAGTTCACTGCTGGAGACTACATGTTTGAGCCCGAGAGCATTAACGCTACCAAGATCGAGCATGACGTCGCTTTTGGTGAGACTGTCAGCTTCACTGTTAACTTGAAGGCACCTCTCCACGCCAACCGTCGCCACATCTCATACTGGCGTTTGACTGCTCCTGACGGAACCCGATTTGGAAGCAAATTGTGGTGTGATATCCAGGTTGTTGAGGCTCCAAAGATTGAGGAGCCCAAGGTCGAGGAGCCCAAGCAGGTTGAGCCCGAGGCGTTTGAAGATGTGGTTGACAGCTCACAGGCCTCATCACAAATGATTTTCCCTAGACTTCCCGTTGAGAGCCCCGTTGCATCCGTTGAAGATTTGAGTTCTGCAAGTTCTGCCAAGATTGAAGTTGATGCTGTTTCCGTACCTGCTGTTTCCGTTGCCTCTGGTGACACCAGGAGCCTGCCAGAAGATTCTGACGATGGTCTCGACATCAACTCCATCGCTGATGATCTCGACAGCTTTTTGACTGATGACGAGTATGACGTTCTTGATGCAAGCGACGAGGAGGCTTTCCAGGAGTGTGAAAGAGTCGTGTAAGGGAATAGGGTTGCCTAGGAACCAGAAATTGTAATACTGAAAGGATAGGTTAGGCGGGGTATCAGGGTTCGGGGTATCGGTGTTCTCTCTTTTTTTATTATCCACTTTCTGTTTTATTGATTCGGTTTTCTCTCTGTCTTTTGCAAGCAGAATTTTTGCCTCCAACGTCTTTTGTGAGTTTTTGATTCATCTTTTGAGTGCGCTGGCATAAGGAACAAACAAGTCAATTTTCTTTTTTAGTACCAGTTCAGTTTATCGATTGATTATGGATTTTTATTCCTTTGTTTTTTTTCGCGGCCCATGTAGTGTATTCGCTCGGAGAAAATTGGAAACCTTTTGAATTGCGCAAATGAGAGGTCTGGTACCTGATCAGGCTATTCCGATCGTGACCGAGGGGGTCGGCTTTTTTTGGCGGTCTGACGTTGTCGTGCGTGTGCAGCGTCTAGTGGGGTTTGTATGTAGGCGAGACTGGCGAGTGAGCAGAGGTGGTACATACTAACCACATGTATCCTCACCTACGGTACAGTGCCAAAGAAGCCTTTCGAGGTTCTCGCTGTCAGAAGTCGTTATCGGCTGGCCATACCCACTTTGCCCGCCCAGCATGTTCGTTCGTGGGTACGGATAGTTACTTGCATGAGATTCCCCCCCTGTTTGGTCCAGTTCAGCCCAGTCAGTGAGATTTCAGAGTCATCTTTGCCAGTTCCTAGAGTAGAGTAGAGCGTTCGAGTGAGTGAAAGTACCTGCTTGTAGTCAGTAGAGAGATATCTTGACGTGGTTGTTCACCGGCATCTTCCTTCCCTCCTCCTCCTCTATCCTCCTGCTCTCCTGCTCCCTCCTCTCCCTTTTCCCCTTCCGCAGTCCAGTGCACTTTAGTTGAGCCCCACCACCACTCTATTCTACACCCAACCAACAACCACCAGCGAGTTTCTGTGCATCGTACACCACCACTACTAATCTACTCCTTCCTATCTTCCTACCTACCCCGCGCTACACCTGTCAACTGCCTGTACTCTACTGTCTACCACATCCAGAGAAATAAAGGAAGAAAGGAGTTGTTCGCTTCTTCTTGTTGACACCCACCCACCCACTCACTTATCCTCACTATCCTGCCTCCTACTCGCGGCTATCAACATCACGCTCCTGTTGCCACCCGAAACCTAACAGGCGTCCATCATGTTGAAGATCTGGTCTATGGTAAGTTCCTAGATATAGAAGAGGACTACAGTATAGTAGAGTGCAATGTAGGCAGGAGCTGACACAGAGTGTAGAAGCAGCAGCAGGCGGCGTCTAATGCCGAGGGCGGCCCGAAGAAGAAGAAGGTAACGGCTGCTCAGCTGCGCGCTCAGAAAGGTTTGTTATAGATAGATGCGGAAGAGCGGGGGGCGATAGCGGGGATGCGAGTGTGGGCTGACGGGGTGCCTGGTACAGATATTACGGAGTTGGCGCTACCGTCGACGATGAGGACGAACTTCCCGGACCCGGAGGATATACTGAATTTTACGTTGACTATTGAGCCGGATGAAGGTTTGTAGTGCCCTCTTTTCTCTGTCGATATTGGGCGGGGTGGGGATTAACTGGGTGTAGGAATGTATAAGGGCGGATCGTTCAACTTTACGTTCGCGATCAACTCGAACTTCCCGCATGAGCCGCCGAAGGTTAAGTGTACGCAAAAGATCTACCACCCGAACATCGACCTTGAGGGCAACGTTTGCCTGAACATCTTGCGTGAGGACTGGAAGCCGGTCCTGAATTTGAATGCGGTGATCGTGGGGTTGCAGGTATGTTTTACTTCCATTTCCTGGTGTGTTTGGTTTTGGGTGGATATATGAGGACTGACTGTCGGGGTTGTAGTTCTTGTTCCTCGAGCCAAACCCGTCCGACCCGTTGAACAAGGAGGCCGCGGAGGATCTCCGACTCACGAGAGAGAACTTCAAGAGAAATGTGAAGAGCTCCATGCAGGGCGGGTATGTCAAGAACGTCCAGTTCGATAAGGTGTTGAAATAAACCGGAGCGTCCTTCGTCATCATTGGTACGATAGAGGAGTGAGGGAAACGGAAGGGGCGTCTGTGGGCATGAGTTCTTTTTTTAACTACCATTTTCTCTTGTTTTCCAGTTCTTCCTTTTGTTATTAGCTTCATATGTGGTCATGTTCACTATTTTGTTTTGTCTTCCAATTGCTTCAAGATGAAATAGATGGTGTCATTTTTTTCTCTCCCCTTCTCTTTTATTGATTTTGCTCTGCTTTGCTTTTTTGCTTTTTTGGCTATGTTCTTTCCCCTCTTCCTTTTGCAACATCTTATATATCTCTCGTTTCATTATACCTTCCAGGAGCTCATGGGGGCGGCTCTCTTTTTATGTCTAGATGACTTGAACATGTTTTAAATCGATGGCGGTGGATGTTATTTCGGGGGGCGGGGGGAGGGCTAGTTAGCGATCATTTTTTAAACATATTTTTTTTCCCATTTATTCCATTCTATCAGGGTGTTCTTATGTGTCCTTGGAGTGATGGAGCTTGGTAGAAGTGTTGGTTATTGTTTCTAGAGGTATGTTGAAGGCTGGGCGTCGTTGGGGGGTTGGTTGTGACGAGTGATGGGCTGTGAACCGAGAGTTGGCTTAGATTAATGTCTGCATGCATACACTCGTATGTTTGTCAGCAATTACCTGTGCCAGTTCCCTTGACCTGAGAAATCAAGCCCTCTACGTCAGCCCTGTGACCCGTTATTCGAGTTGTTTATAGAATTGGATATTAGGCACTCTCGACCAGTTGAGCTCAATTTCACTAGAGCTGACGGTAGGTATTTGAGGTCATTGTCAAGAATGAATTGTGGATCTTCTGAGGCGTGAAAATATTCCTCCGGAGATCCGTAGCTATAGGTTTTCGAGTTCACGCCTTTGTTGAGGATGTGTGGTCGTGTGCGGTCTGTTGCATCCTGTAGAGTAAAAGCTGACCGCAGCTCTCGGCACATTTTTGACACAGAACGACAAATTTCTCTAATACGGGTGTTACACATGAAAGGCGTTTACAAAGGCTTATGTGGCCACTTGTGATGGATGTGATGGGGGTTGATTTGGATAATCTGGGGTGTGTTTTTTGTGCAGGGTTCTCGAGAATATTACCGCACGTAGGAGATATTGTGGATTGAGTCAATTGGCGAGTGTTTGGTAGTAACATGAAATTGCCTCTAGGTGCAATTAATGTATGAAGATACATGTATCCTCGGTGAATTCAAGAGGCCTGTTATGTTAATGATTGACCAGCAGTAACATTTATTAGATGTTCCACATACGCCAAGACCCCACTTGGTTGTGACCCGGGCCCTATCTTGGCTCGGCCTTTCCCCACGCGGAAAAGAAAGTGAGAAAGAAAAAAAAGAACGAAAAATTAACCCCCATACAAATTGAGGAGACAGAAAAAAAAGAAGAGTCCCCCGTCCTTTCCGCGCTTTCCTCACCTTCCCCAAACCCTTTGTAAACCCTCCCTCCCCCTCCCCACACCACCCATACAAACCAACAATGGCATCACGAACTTTCACCAGAGCCCTTCGCTCAAACGTTGCCCGCCAGATTGCGGCGCCCGTCCAGAAGAGGGCTATCTCAACTGCCTTTGCTGCTGCGAGAGCTACCGTCGCTGTTGCTCCTCGTGTCCCGGCTGCTGTGCAGAAGAGGGGTATCAAGACCATTGATTTTGCTGGTGTCAAGGAGGATGTCTACGGTATGCTGACCCAATTCACTCGTTTTTGAGTATTTATGAAAAAAATTACATTCTGGGAACAATTGCTGATGGTATTTGTGTAGAGCGTGCCGACTGGCCCAGAGAGAAGCTCTTGGTGAGTCATAATAATAGATACTGAAGGAGAAAAAACTTTTTCTCCTTCAGTGTTTCTTTTTTTTGTCCTGGATAAGGGAACAGCGTCTTACGGTTATTCGTTTCACAGGACTACTTCAAGAACGACACTCTTGCTTTGATCGGATACGGTTCTCAGGGTTTGTTAACCGAATTATGGTCCTTATTCCTTTGTTCTGAAAACTAACGGTCGGTTTAGGACACGGACAGGGTCTTAACCTGAGGGACAACGGATTGAACGTCATCATTGGTATGTTTCATCCAATATCACCCACCAAACATTGTCACTAACGATATCTCCCCAGGTGTCCGAAAGAACGGTGCCTCATGGCAGGACGCCATCCAGGATGGCTGGGTCCCTGGCACCAACCTCTTCGAGGTTGATGAGGCCATCTCCAAGGGTACCATCATCATGAACCTCCTCTCCGACGCTGCCCAGTCCGAGACCTGGCCCGCTATCAAGCCCCAGCTCACCAAGGGCAAGACCCTCTACTTCTCCCACGGATTCTCCCCCGTCTTCAAGGACTTGACCAAGGTTGAGTGCCCCACTGACATCGACGTCATCCTCGTCGCTCCTAAGGGATCTGGACGTACCGTCCGCACTCTCTTCAAGAACGGCCGTGGTATCAACTCTTCCATTGCCGTCTGGCAGGATGTTACCGGCAAGGCCAAGGAGAAGGCTATTGCCCTCGGTGTCGCTGTCGGTTCCGGTTACATGTACGAGACCACCTTCGAGAAGGAGGTCTACTCTGTGAGTCATACCCACATATTACCAGGTATCCTTATGGAATTCAGACTAACGGGAGATTAGGACTTGTACGGTGAGCGTGGTTGCTTGATGGGTGGTATCCACGGTATGTTCCTCGCCCAGTACGAGGTTCTCCGTGAGCGCGGCCACTCCCCATCTGAGGCCTTCAACGAGACCGTTGAGGAGGCTACCCAGTCTCTTTACCCATTGATCGGAGGAGTAAGTTCACCAACGCAGCTTCTGAGAATAGAAAATACTGACAAATTCAACAGCACGGTATGGACTGGATGTACGCTGCCTGCTCCACCACCGCCCGTCGTGGTGCCATCGACTGGACCAACCGCTTCAAGGACACCCTTAAGCCCGTCTTCAACGACCTCTACGACTCCGTCAAGACCGGAAAGGAGACCACCCGCTCCCTCGAGTACAACTCTGACCCCGAGTACCGCAAGAAGTTCGAGGCTGAGTTGGAGGAGATCCGCAACATGGAGATCTGGCGCGCCGGAAAGGCCGTCAGGTCTCTCCGCCCTGAGAACAACTAAATTTCTGTTCTCGGAGCTGGGTGACTTGGTGACGGTTGGGTGAAGGGGATAGAGAACGCTGTTAGTAGAAAGGGTTCGCCTATTTTTGTATATTTCCGTAGTTTGGGAAAAAGTATTTGCTTTCTTGTTCAATCGTGTGTGCCGCTTGGCACTTTTTTATTTTGACGTTCGCATGTGAAGACTGTGAACTGTGAATGTGATACGAAATATTAAAATTGGTTGTGGCGGCAGTAGAGTTCTGTGGAAATGGACTGCCTAAACTTTGTGGATGCACTTGTCGGCAGGTTGGTAGGGCTGGGCGATCATGAGACATCACTCACATGCAGATCTCATGTCACTCAAACAAGTCAAAACAAAAGATGCCAAGGTTAGAAATATCTTTTAAATGTAGTGAATATCGATAATCTGTCTCGAATAATAACCTATTGATTGATATAAGCCAATAATTAGATTATATTTAGCTGGGTTACATAGGATAATCCTACAAAGTCTCGAGACGTTGAGACCTGTCCAAGTATTAGAGTCTTGTTTAGTCTAGCTAGATCTGGTGCTCATTATTACTCGATTGCCAAGCTCAACTGATTGCAGAATGTTTGAGTATATTTGTGAAATCATGCATACGTTTAATTCAACCCTAGTGCTAGCTATATGGTGTGCCCAGGTGTACGCCTTTTATAGGTTCGCGTTCAATTCTACTCTTTGTCACCACATTTAGAGCATCTAGCTAGAGTCCATTGGTACATTTATGTTTATACACATCGTCACTTAATCCTCACGGTCACCAAAGAATATTAAATCTTGAAAAGCCACGAATAAAGTCGGGTTATAATCGTTTTATAAAAATGAAGTCCACCACTATCGATAAAAGAGAGACCTCAGTCACTGAGGTTTGGTTACATGAACTCAGTCCAACACAAAGAAGAAGTCTGACGAAGCAGAAGTAGTAGATCCAACACTCGAACCATCCCATCTCCAAACCCACGAAAACAGCATCCTAAAGACTGAAAGAAAGACAATTCAAACCACACGAAACGAAATCTCCCACAAAAACATCGTCTAACCAGGGCACTTGAAGGTCTTGTGCAAATTCCCGATCCAGAAGCTGTTGCTTCCACACTGCTTGTCCAGGTTCTCGGCGCTCACACAGTTATCCTTGAACCTTCCGTTCTGGTTGATCCACAAAGAACCTCCGCAACCCTCGAGAGTGAGGCCTGCATCGCTTCCAAGCTGGAAAGAATGCCCACAGGGGTTGGCGGGGAAGGTGCTCAGGAACTTGGTGTCCTGATTGCAAGGGTCAGAAGTACCGGTGGTCCAGGCGACGTTGTAGGTGACGCCGTTTGTGCCGGCAATGGTGCCGATAGAGATGGCGGCAGAGACGGTGGTGCTTATGAGTGCGGTAGCACTGAGGAGGGCACTGGTGATGCGCATTTTGATTTTAGGGAGAAAGAAGGTGGTTGGAGGAGGAACTCTGAAAATTATCAGGCTTGAGGTTTACTACTGATGGGAGTACTGTGTTGGCTTTAGAGAGTATCTTGTGGGATGGTGAGTTCAGGTTTGGGGAGAATTCTTGGAGCTTTTATATTCGATTCTGAAGACTTGACGGTGTTGATGCTCTTACTCTACTCAAGCTGTCCAAGCAATCAAATTGCGATTATATTTGCCGCAAGAAGTTGTCCAGTATTCTGGTCAAGGTAAGATATTGGAAACAATGTATCCCTGTGTACTTTCTGTCGACTGCTTACAATTGTGCGCTTACCAAAGTTTCTAGCTTAGCAAGAGTATAAAACATCGTAATAACTACCAAAAGAATAAGTCCAATCTCTTAATTGTCTAAATACTCAGCAAATAATCCGAATCCATGTACTCGTTGTGCGTTGAGGATCTATGCTTGGTAAGAGAACCAGTCAACGAAGATAGTAAAGATCTACATACCGATTAGTGAGACATAGTCTGTTACCAACCACAGATATCAGTGCCAAGATTGCTTACAGAAATCTTCAATCTTATCAACAAACCATATAATTCTTAGATTCATTAACATGCGCACGCACGTGGAGGGAGGCAATGCACTTAAGAGAGAATACTGCAATGTGGTTAGTAGTAGCAAATGAGGTCACGGTATCCCTCGGTGGCACTGCATGCCCCAGCCCAATGCCAAAGGAATCTTCGATCGAAGCTTGCCTAAAGACAGTGTCTGATACAACATAGATTTGACCTATCTAGTACTAACTTCGGTTGAGCGCTAATACCATTTGTCCTCTTGAGGTAATTAGACGCCGTCCCTGAAGGCCTTCCCTTCCAGTGTTCTACCCGTATAATTAACGAGCTATGAGTCGATTTTTTGTATATCTCCAAGAAAGGCATTGGCCGTTAAAAGCTGATGAAAATAGAGCATTCCGATTGGCGAAGCGGGTATCAGGTGGTAAAAATGGGCAAATGGCCATGTTTCTGATAGCCAAGGCTGATTAGTATGAAGACTGAGCTTACCCTTGCCTCGTCGAAAGCTTGATTCTGCCGCAAGGGTAATCCTGGGCTTCTTGGTGTGGTGGTACCTTTCCTTTTATTTTTGCTTTTCTTCGTCCTATGAGTAGCTCGGTTTTCTGTCGTGCCACTCAAAGAGAGAGATGCTGATTATAATGCGTTAGTAAAATTCACAGAATCTGCTGAAACTAATAACATATGCCGTAAGATTTACTGGCAAAAACACAGGTGGCAGGGTATGGGTTCGCGTGGGAGTGTATTGGGAGCCTTACCTGACCTGTGATCGAGCGCGTGTGGGTTGAGAGATCGGACCTGGTATTACCTGCAAGTGATCCTCATAAAGACCTCAAGTGGCACTTTCTTCACCGGTGACTCCGTTGCGAACGTAGACTTTCTGTCTTGGCTAGGAAAGTGCGATTTCTTTTGACTGCTCTCTTTTTCGCAGCAATGGAACTTGGAAAGTCGGGATGAATCCCTGAGCATGTACACCAAGCTGCCCACAAATCAAGAGTGAATGAGATCGGGCATACCTGTATCTACATGTATCCGCTCATGAACAGCGGAAAGTAACGAATGCTCAGCGTTCGTGAACGGACTAGAACATGGACACTATTTGCATCATAGGAAGTCACTCGTTAATATCTCATACTATTAGCAATGAGCACGACCGGGCTAGGGCTGCGGCCAAGCTGGGCCATACAACCAGAACCGCATCTTTTCTCCTTCTTTTCATCGCATCTTCGTGCAGGGGCCAAAAGAAATGAAGAAGGAAAGAAACACGAAGCGTAAAGGCCTCCCCCTCAAAGGACCTTTGGGATCGCTTTTTACCTTTTACGCAGGCCACACATTTCTCTGTAGTACTCTAGCATCACGAGACAGTATCTTCTGTGATGGACAGGCTAAGTGATGTATGTGTGGTTAGAGGAGAAGATTTGGGAAGTGGGGGATTTGGTGTTTAAATGATCATGCAGTTGCTTATGCCAAGCCTGGCGCCGAGTAAGATATGTAGCTAGGGTTGGGCTAAGGTACATAGTGTTAATAATTGGGTGTGTATAGATGAGATACGGGTGGTTATACTGGGCGCTGCAATATTTGCTGCTGCAGATGTGCTTGTATGTAGGGCCTACCTTTCTGCGAAGTAGCTATGGAATATTAGTGCCAAGTCCCTTGAGCATGCGGTCAATATTAGACAATTCGCACCGGCTCCTATCCTTGTATCTCTCTTCCAAGAGCATTTTGTCTGCTCATGAACCACAATAGTAGGGCTGAGCTTGAGCCTATAGGCAGAGATGCCGCGGCCCGCGCCGCCCCTTAGAACCCATCTGTTGCAAAAAACCTAGGTGGGCGGTGTCTTGCCAATTTCTTAAAGAGCTCTATCATGCTACTCGGAAATCGTGATAGCGACTTCCCATTTGTTCTTTTTGGTTGTTAACCCTCTGTGTGAATAAAAAGAGATGGGGGAAGTCAAGGCTTGAGGTGTGTTAAGTAATATCGATGCATCAACTTTTATTGAGAGTTATCAAATAAGACATGGACGACAGATTACAAAGTCTGCCCCTTCAAGCAACAGTACTCAATAGATACGCCATGCCCACATCAAGGGACCCCAACCTTACCACTCTGTAAAAAGAAACCTTCCCTCGAAACAGCACAGTAGAACGCCCTTCATCTATCTCCATCCGGATCCCTCAAACATTTGGGATATAACTCCCCAACCAGACCTCCCCATCGTCAAACACCCAACCCGCATCCGCGATCTTTGTCATGTTGAGTTCGTTCCAAACAAAGACTCTAGTTCCAACAATGGGCTCAAAGCGCCTGTCGATCTGCTGGAGGATAAATGTCTGGTCGGGGACTACGCCGCCTTTGATGTGGCGCCTGAAGAGTTGGCCGAGAGTCATGTTGCTTGGAACGTCGTGGGTGGTCCAGAGGACGCCGCTGATGGCTTGCGCTTGGCGGGTACGGGTAGGGCCGCGGTGGCGGATGTTGATGCGGAGGAGCTTGGGTGTAGATTCAAGTTCGCCGTGATGAAGGTTGGATTCCTGCTTGAGATGCATCTTTGGCCCGGGGCTGGGGTTGGGTCTATATGGTAAAGTGGTTAGTTGAGCCATATGATGGTGTGAGTTTGGGTTTTTTACCAACAGCACGGATGGATCAGGGGTACCTAAGTAGATGTGGTTTCAACTAGTGGCAGTTGTGATCTTGATAGTTCTTGGGACTGATGGATGGGTTGATAGATGTGGTTGTCTAAAGTTCAGTGCCGTTTGATATAGCACGATACGACGCTAATACATGTAACACAGGCATTTACATTAATCTTTGTGATGGTTTAGATGAGTGAGACATAGTGACTCACTCGATGCACAATCACAACATTACTCAGTATTTTTTTTTATTTTTTTTTATTTTTTTAATTCATTAATTAATATTACTCAGTATGAATACTTCTTGGTATTTTATATCTTTGGGAATAATCTGGTGTGAATAAAAACATAAATAAACAGCCTAATAAATAAGAAATCCCAAGAATCTAGCAGACCCAAAGCTAACTTAAAATCCCAACCCGAAGAGAATACCAACCACGTCCTTGTCGCCGTCATATCTAAACAGAGGAGCAAAAAAAAAAAAAAGGAAGAGAAAGAACTATTAGAAAAGAAATTTCTCAGTCATCTTCATCAGTAATATCATCCTCTACCTTAGGTTTCTCCTCATTCATCTCCTCCCATGTACACCAACTCAGCAGTACGAACGCCGCAATAATTAGCACTCCACCCAATAACGCCGCGGTGCTTATCGGGGTGCCGAATATGAACCAGTCAGTTATTGCAACCAGGAAGATTGTGAGTCTGTCGTCTATTAGTATAAAGAGTTAAGAGAACAGGGGAGTACTAACAGCCCAGCAACGCTAGACAGAACGGGACTAGTGAGACTCATGAGAATCAGGAAAGACCCGCTGAACACAGCGTTGGAGAAGACGGAGATGGCAAGCATAATAGCCGCCTCACCGCTTGGGATCTCGAATGTCTCGATACCGGTCCAGTGTAGGATCGGTATTGGGATCCATAAAACACACTATTTCAAGCCACGATTAATATAACCAGACCTAACAGAGGGAAGTCGCTCGGTTACGCACCAAAGTGAAAGCCCCAATCCCGGAGCCTACGGTATTTGCGAAAATAGCGCTTCTACCCGAGGATGTACCTTCGGGCGGACACGCTACCTTCTTATAAAGGACCTCATAGAACCCATAAAGAACGCTCCCGATACCGATAATGATGTTTCCTAGGACACGGTTCTTCTCACCTTGCGTCTCATTTTCGTCGACGCTGTTACCATCACCATATGCGACAACCAGTACACCTACAATCGCGATTGCCACACTCCCGATCTTCAGCGCTCTTGGCTTTTCATGAAGCATAGGGATACTGAACGCATATGCGAAGAATGCGCTGCAATTATAAATTGCAGTTAGATCGCTTGGAGTTGTGAGCGAAACGGCAATGTACCAGGTTGACCCAGCAAAAGTGAGAGCGCAGGTTATGAATATGATCCTTTTGAGCATATAGTAGGTCGGATCGGCCCGGACCTGGGAGTGGGAAAGGCGGGTAGATGACGCCATGATCATCTGGGCAGTGGTCTTGATGTGGCTAAGATGCCCAGTGAGGAATGCCCCCCATGGCGTATTGGGTTTACGCATCTTGAGGATCAGAAGCTGAGTAGGCCAGAGAACAACCCAGGACCCGTGGGTTAAGTATCTACACCGGGGTTATTATAAGCTCAGAGGAACCGGTGGAAGGCCCGAGGGCAGCGACATACAACATGGCATATGCCTTCTGCCATCCGAGTTCAAGCTGTATGTACTGAGCCGTTTCAGTTTGTACCTGTAGGCTAAGTAAGCGAGATGAACCTCAGGACAGCAAAGCTGCATCATTGCATTAAAATACCACAAACGAAACGAGCGATAAGACCAAAAAGATCGCCGCCATCACGTACTTTTTACGATTCTCGGCTCTACCAGCTGTTAGCTCTCCGAGAGGTCCTCCTAAGTGCTGGGGGGAACACAAGTATTGACCTAGCTGAAGCGCTGGTTGGGCTTCTGCTCCGCATCTCATGTCGCCTTCTTTCCCGAGCCCTCTCGTCTACCTCAACGCCTTCATAGCTGCTTCTCCCCCTCTCGCGATCGCCTGAAGCTTCCTCGGAGAGTAGTGGCTCTGCGGATGGGCCCTCTGAGGGCTTCGGTCGTATATCCCAGTCCCACATTTCGTCGTCGCTGTCTTCTTCTGTGTGGGTAATGTTCCGAGGGTGTTGACTCTGGCCGGGACTCATCGAGGCTTATGGGGGTTGGCAGTCGTATTTGAATGGGGGCAGAGCGCGGCCGAGGGTATGCAACGGCTAGTGAACGCTTTTGGTCGATTGTTCCTTGGTAAGCGTCCTTGTGATGTGCGTATGCGGTTGAGTACCTAGAGTGCTTTACTACATGTTAGAGAGTGTTACCAAATGTTATATGAGCATAAAAGGTTTGGTAGCTGCAGATCCAGATCAAGTGATACTGTGTACCTTGGTCACAGGTGGAACTGTACTAGGTAGCAGGGCAGATGGGTGTTCACAACTATTCGTACTGGCAGCCTATTCCAAATCTCTGCAGAATAAATAGAATAAGGTATTTCTATAAAGGAAAGGGGGAGTTTAGAATCTGGTTTATAGGGGAGGTAGTGAGTGCAAGCCATTCGTCATGCTGCATGACACGGAGCCTCTGTTGATCTGTGTGTGACAGCCCCTGTCACACGTATTTTTAGGTGGCCCATCTCTTATGTAATTATTAATTCTTCGAACTGAATTAAGCTGATATGTAAGATTTAAAGATATGTTCGGTCTACGTGCGGGTTGTCTCTGGGGTGACAAGACGAGACAGGAATGTAAATCGTGTTTTGGGGTTGTCAATACTGTACTAGCTAAGTGTAGTAGAGTCCTGTCCTTACTTGTTTTACGACTCTTGTTCGGATGATATATCGCTGAACTGTATGAGTGATCCTTCATATTTCTTTTCATGATCTTTCTAACCACGTGTACGTTCTCGTTCTGTTTCAGTGAAATGCACATGTATGTAACTGATTTCTTATACACAAAGAATATCTGTGGGAAATGGCGTTTTTCGAAAGATATATTTTGCTCTGTCCGAGATTCAATTGACACATGTTTTTATGAGGATAATTAGTGTAAAGTATCCCTGGTCACGCTTCACCTCACCAGGAGTCACATCTAAATGTATCCACTCACTAGGTGTGCTTTCGTTCCAGAAAACACCCGGAAAAAGAAATAAAAATGAACGTCGAAGCTTTTAAAGATCCAGTTACGTGATCCCAGTTGAACTACCCGGAACAAAAAGAGAAAGAAGGAAAAAAATGGCCACAATAATATTTTAACTCAAGAACGTAAAAAGCAAGTTTCATAAAACCATCCCCCAAGCAAAAAGATTCTAGCCCGTCATCATCTATGATTCTACAATCTCTGCTGGAGCATCCACGATTTCCTCCGCAACATCGATCAAATCCTCCCCTGCTGCCGGTGCTTCTGCTTCTACTCTCAAATACTCATCCCACTCCGGAAACAATTCATCGTCCTCTCCTGGGACCGCGATCGCCTCACTCAGCTTCTCCTTTTTGGCATCCCTAAGGCTGTTCTTCCACTTCACTGCCACATCTTTTGTCAAGCTTGGCTTATATGTCTGTGTGAAAAGAGCCGCCTCTGGGATCCTCCCGGTTTTTACGAGGAGGTTAGCGCAATCCTCAATATCGCCCGTTTGCCACAGGCATGCGAATGCAACGTTGTTAGACCCTGCCGCATCCGCAGACTTTGATAGCTTTCTAAGACCCTCAACATTTCCAGTAGCTGTGTGAAGGAGAAGGAGTGAGCCAAGGTCCTTGGCGGCACGGAAACATTCCTCCGCGAGCACAAGGTCCCAGGCGGCGAGAGCTGCGTCACCAACAGTTTTCCAGCGGTGTTCAGCGTCGGCACTTCGAGCAATCTCAAGTGCGATTTCAAGGTTTCCGAGGCTGAGAGCGAGGTCAAAGCGGTGCTCAGGGTCGGTAGCAACCTCCAGAGCAAGCTCTTTGTAGCCTTGCCCTTCAAGGAATCGTGCAATCTTGTTCTTCTGGTCCTGAGGAATCGTTTCCAGGAGCTCTGCAGCGGCGTCCATATCGCCTCGGAGGACAACGGTTTGATACTCAACAACATTGAGAGATAGTGAGTATGAGACAACATTAACGTCCTTATCAGCAAGGTAAATATGGCCATCGCGGGGGATGTAGCCGAGAAGGTACATGGGAGAATCAAAATGAGAGATGGTGTATGTTTGATCGCCGACGAGATAGTTGAGGCGGTTAGTAGAAGTTGTGTAGATGAAGCAATCACCAACCCATTCTCCCGTGCGAACAGATTCATGGATATCAGTGATAACCTCAAAAGCAGCCTCTACACCATCATCTTCAACAGTTCCATTCTGAGCGGCAGCGACATACTCGTCTCTGTCGAATCGCAAAACGTAGAAAGCATCCTCGCAAGCAAGAGTCACAAGTTCACCACTATCAGACCAGAAAACCTATTTGAAGGAATGTCAGTTGATAATCCTTAATGTTTCAAGCTTTCCGTGGAAGCTCAATTCTATGGCTTTGGGAAGCGTACGTTATGTGGCACCACGTCGATCCTTCTAACCAAAGCGCCAGTTTCCCAGTCGAAGAGCCCAACCGTCTCAGCTCCCCGAACAGCGAGTAGAACACCACCAATCAATCCGTCAGCAGCGAATCCGACGTCCAAACCTCCAGGTTTCTCCTTGAAGTTTTTGAACAATTTAACGCTGGTCGGGCTCTCTCGAATAGCGTAATCATTGCTGTTGTCTCGAGAACCCCAAGCAAAGTCCAATGCCTGCCCGAATGCCTTGTTCCTCCAAGCCAAAGCAGTGTAGATGATATACTCTCCATCACCACAAACTGACACGAAACGGCCGTTGGGGGAGTGGAGAAGGGATTGCGGATAAATTTCACAAGACCCAAGATCTTTGTGGGGAAGTGATAATGGTTCACCATCCTTGACAGATACATCTGTAATCAAATGTCAGTTGACTGGCTGATGTAAAATCACGATGCTTTAACAAGTGCGTACCGCCGGGTTTGACAACCGCGGTCAAGACCTCGTTATGCCTCGCCCATACAATCTTTCCACCTGCATCCATACTGACAGCCGGTTCTTCCCTTCCCATCTTGATAACAACACATCCTTCGTCGAATCCGATAGCGAGGGCATTCTTGCCCCTCTGGTAGGAAACACACCATGCTCTCTCAAGTCCATAACTTAAAGTTTGCTCCAGGCGGTAGGTATTTGCGTGCCAGATCTTAACACTGCCGTCTTCAGAACCGGAAATGATTACTGGGAGCTCTGGGTGGAAGCAAGCAAAAGAAACATTCGATGTATGGCCCTCAAGTGTAGCGATTAAGGATTTATTCGTGTAATCCCAAATCTTGATTGTTCGATCATCAGAGGTGGTGAGAATATAAGGCTTGTCGGCAGCCGGGTAGTAATCGACATGATTAACACCTGTAGTTGATCAGCCATTGATCCGAAACATTTATTTTAGACGTAATAACCTACCCTTAGTCTCGTGCGCCTCTAGAGTGAAGTTAGCACTTCCTCCACCGCCCAAGCTCCAAATTTTGACCGTTCTGTCTAAACATGCAGAAGCGAATGTATTTGTGTCCTTGGGGTTAATGGCCAAGCTCATGACATAGTGGCTGTGCCCCTCAAATGTCTGTACACACTTCCAGCCCTTGTCCCAGTCCCATAACTTGATAGTCATGTCATCACTTGCAGTGAGCACGAACGGTTGTGTCGGATGCACAACGATCGAACGGATATAATCGGGATGCGCTTCGAAAGCCGCGATCTTTTCTGAAGTGTTGTAGTTGAACACCCGAAGATGGAAGTCGTCGGAACCGACCACAAACCAGTTCTTTCGCGCGATAAAGCGACCGGCACGAACAGGGACATCGGTAACCTCAAAGGTCTTTACTAGGGTTTGAGTCTCGTAGGACCAGATGTATACATGACCTTGAATTGATTAACAGGTCAGTGATTGACTTCACCCCGCCTTCTGAGACATCGTGGAGCAGGAGGCAGTACCGCTATATAAGGTGCTCAGAATCCATGGTTCAGTGGGGTGAAAATCGATCCCTTTCACTCGGTCCGAGCGGGCAAAGAGTTGTCTCTAAATGACAAAATTGATAGGATTTGATCAGCCTTGACTTCGAGATATTCCCGAGCATCCTGTGCCTCTCAGTCACCCCCGAGGAGGTGCCCATCATCTCCCCTCAACTTAAAGAACCGTATAAAAGAGTATCCGTACCTTAACGTCTAGCCGCATTATGTCTACTTCCCGGTTGAGATTCTTCTGTATTCGATTGTTTTATCTTAGGGAGTAGTTCGCGCTTGTCGATTCTGATGATAGGTAGTATCCCCTGAAGCTTTTTGCGAGAGGACAGCTGTTGTGCAGCAATCGTAGGGGTTTAGGGTAACTGATGAGGTTGAATATTGGCTTGGCAACGATTGATTCAAGGTGTATATACTACGACCACATTAAAAAGGCAACAAAAAGAAGGTAAAAAAACAGAGAAGACTTCTAAAACTACTGGGAGAAACAGAAATGGATTGTGATGTGAGAAATCGGGGCAATAGTCGAAGATGTTACCTCTATGATCGATCCCAAAGGCTTTGATATGTCTCTAGTCTAGATCTCTCATCCTCATGTACGTAGATGAACCGGGGAATGATGAATTGCTTCCTGTACACTTTAATTCCAGAGAATAGAACCAAGACCTCTTTCCCTGACCAGTGACACTACATGTAGGTCTATGTACTGCGATAAAACAATTATCCTAATTCTACGAGTATCTCATAAATCCCAATGTTCATCCAGAGTCAAGACAATTGATCGATCCTTCCGTAACATTGCCCGTTTCCAAATCTAAGCCCTCCAAGTACCTGAGTATTGAAGTGTCTACAAAAGGTTGCTCACGGCGCTGAATGCGTTGAGACTCAAAGTACGCTTAGTCATCCCGGGAATGCCTGCATACAAGTTAGACTAACAAACCTCCACGTTCACCTTAAGTCACTCCATCTCCGTACACACATTTCTCCCATCTCTCTCCCAGTGCCAACTTCGTTTTAACTTGCGAAATCCAACATGGAGTCCTCTTTACCCTCGCCAGATGCCACACCACTGCTACCACCGCCAGGCGGCGCAGATTTAAGCTCCCTCATGGCCTCGTTTTTCAACCCTTCTCTCCCCGTCTTGATTGTGACGATTATCGTCATTTTCTTGACCCCTTTACTGATCCACACACTGATATTTCGGTCACGCGCCGCAACCACTCTACCTACATTTCTCCTTGTTGGCCCAGTTGGCAGTGGAAAAACTTCTCTTATGACAGCTGTAGGTTTCTCCAGTGACCGAATGCGCACTTCCGACATATTAACGAAGAGTACAGTTTGAATCCGAAACCGAAAGTGGAAAGCCTCCTCCGGATACCCGTACCAGCCAGAGCCCTTTGTCGCTTGAATGTTCAATCTCTGCCGCTATCGCGGGAACGTCTAAATACCGCTCGGCCAATGATCCTTCAATGAAATCATACCTTAAGTTTCTCCTTTCCGACACCCCCGGACACGGAAAATTGCGTCACCTTGCATTGTCTCAGATCTCATCTCCTGTCATCCGTGGCGTCATCTTCGTTCTTGACTCTTCCTTGACCGACGTTCGTGGGACCGCTGAATACCTTTACGATGTTCTTTTGGCACTGCAAAAGGCTGCCTCCGCATCTGGTGCTACGTCTTCGCAACCTAAACGGCTGTTGATTGCCTGCAACAAGAGTGATGTGTTTACTGCACTCCCTGCTGGTAAGATACAAAAGCTCTTGGAGGAAGAGATCACCAAGATGAGAGTCTCAAGGTCCAAGGGTATTCTTGACGTTGAAGACGATGGTGAAGGTAACGAGGAGAAGGAGTGGCTTGGTGAGGGTGGAGAAGGTCCATTCGAATTCAAGGCCATGGAGGAAGTGGGCGTGGAGATTGAAGTGAAGGGTGGAAGTGTTGAAAAGAAAGACTGGAAAGAGAAATTGAGCGCGTTCATTGGTGGTTGCCTATAGTGCCCGCCCTCTTTTTCGTCTTATGATTTTAATGATTATTACTATTGCAAGAAATCGACGTGTAATGAAATAGCGAGCGGTTGGGTTAATGTTTATTCTTGGCGCTTCTTTGTGTTGTATGTAGGAGCACTTCATATAAACGTTTTATATATGTGAAGTGTCCTGACGAATGAAAGGGCGGAACGTTTAATACATGTACTCGCTACTACAATTATTCACACTTCTATTATGTGTATCAATCTTCCCGTCAGCCTTCAAGATGTTATTTGACGTCACTTATAATCAGACCGGGTAACGCTATTGTCTACGGCAAGTAATGCATACTAATTTTGCATAAAATGGGTGTGAATAATCCCTACCCCGCCAATTCACCCCACCAAATTAACATCCCAACAGCCTTTTCAAGCTCCTCTGAAATCAACCTTAGACAACCTAAAAATGGCACCAAAAGCAATCATTGCCCCGTCAATTCTTGCCTCCGACTTCGGAAATCTCTCGTCAGAATGCTCCAACGTGATCAAAGAGCACGGTGCAGACTGGCTCCACATTGATATCATGGACGGACATTTCGTGCCCAACATTACAATTGGGGCACCGGTTGTGACATGTATTAGAGGAAGCGTTGAGAGAAGTGCGGACTGGAGCAAAGGTGTTTTCGACTGCCATATGATGGTTGCTGAGGTCCGTAGTAGTAATTGCCAGTGCCTCAACAACTCTAAAAGTAGTAAACTGACAACCCGATAGCCACAAAAGTGGCTTGAGGACTTCAAGAAAGCTGGCTGCGACCTCTACTGCTTCCACTATGAAGCCGTAGTCACCTCGAAGGACCCCGCGGTGTCGCCGTCACAGCTTATTAAGAACATCCATGCCCTCGGGATGAAGGCTGGTGTTGCGATTAAGCCTGACACCCCCGCAGATGTGGTTTACCCATTGTTGGATGGTGATATCGAGAAGCCTGATGTTCGTCGTTTTCTGTCTTTAATCCCTGGCTGGATGGTGCTGACATTGGATACCAGATGGTGCTGGTGATGACCGTGGAGCCCGGTTTCGGCGGACAGAAGTTCCAGGCACGCTGCATGCCTAAGGTTGCTGCTCTGCGCGAGAGGTACCCGGAGTTGGATATCGAGGTTGATGGTGGGCTTGGTCTGGGCACAATTGACCAGGCTGCGGAGGCAGGCGCAAACGTGATCGTGGCTGGGACTGCGGTGTTTGGAGCTGAGAGCCCAGGGGAGGTTGTCAAGAGGTTGAGAGAGACTGTAGAGAAGAACCTGTCAAGATAAGGTGATCGTATTTTCTTTTTGAGATTAGGCTTTGTGGGAATGGTGTTTTTGTCTTTATTTTTCTTTTTTGTTGTCGGTTTGGGGTGTGAATGATACCTTCTTTTAGCTGCTGAGTACTGTCATTATCATAGACGACATGGGTGTCAGAACTATATACATTTCTAGCTCGTACTCACGATGACACGTTGACTAGATAGATCGAGCTTTTGACCCAATGCGGATCGATTGGCTTCGCTGCTTCACGAGATGAAATCTGTGGAGGTCGATCTGGCAAGTTCAAACCCGGGTATAACCATATAAGCTGGACCAGATAATTAATCCGAAGCCGTCGTTTTTCGCCCCATTAATATCATAATTATATAAAGAAGAGCTAATTGAAAAGATATGATGGCTAATATTGGGAAAAGAGAGATGACGAGTGATTTTGGATGCATGAACGAAAATGAAACTTGGACTCGACTCCCAACCGTGTTACTAGATCTGCATTAGTATAGAAATAGATTAACGTTTACATGTGAGATGTAAACTAATCGCCAATGATTTCTTACTCGAGACTAGGGTAACGGATGCTGTGAATAGCTCTATGAATGCCATATTCTGACTCGGAACTACTTCATAGGTCTGGCTCGAGATCTAGACTATTGCATGAGATCTGACTCGAGACTACTCCGGATCCGTAGATTCTGACTCAATACTACATGTGGTCTTAGGAATATGATAACTATCATTACCTGAGTATATCTACAAGTACATATAGTCTTAGGGAGGAGCGAAGTTGATGAAGCAATTATTGGCCTGAGATTTTTGGTATGCCTGTATATAAAGTAACATCTTTCAAGACTCAAGAGCAATCGCATTAAAAAAGTACACGGCTTGCATTTAATATGAGAGAGAATAGTTTATTAATAAAAACATAATTGATTATATACAAAGAAATAAATAAAACTATATACAAAAGAAACAAAAAACAAAAAACAAAAAAACGTCTCCAAAGAAACCCTAACCCACCAAGGAATGCTCTAACCGTAGCTTCGCGGTTCCCGTTTAAAAAATTAAACGGGGAAACCGGTGTAGAGGCCATGTTCCTAATTCGAGAGAGAACTAGGCGACAGAGGGCCACGAAGCAGTGGCTACAGCTTTTGTTCTTACTCCGGCAAGCAGGAGAAGAAAAACTTCTCATACTTTCCAGAGCAAGAACGAAATCATGCAAGCACAATTTGTAAAGGAGAGAGAGATAGGTGAAGAGAGAGCCGAATACAGTCGAATCTCCCTATAAGGGTACGGAAATACCGCGATGTCGTACCCTTATAGAGCAGTTACCCTTATAGATATTTCAGGGTTAGGTTTGGCAGAGTAGAAAGTTCACTTTTGGGAGTAAAGGGTTCGCGCAACACTGAATTCGGCAGAGTGGGAAGTTCGCGGAACTTCATCACTCTTTGGTGACGGAACTTTCAGTTTTTGGCAGTGCAACTTTCAAGGTTGTTAGCAGAACATTTTTCACTTTTTGAGGGCGAAGTGCCCCAACTTCCACTCAAAAGTTACTCTCTCTATAAGGGTAATACATCAAAAAGTTTGAAAATTTACTAAGGGTATTCTTATAGCAAGAATATAAGCATTTACCCTTAGCACTACATACTAAAAAAAGTAGCCTGCGGACCGGGCTCCTTATAAGGCGAGTATTCTTATAGAGGGTACCCTTATAGCGAGATTCGACTGTATATAGCTGGAGAAAGACTGTGTCAAGGATAAATTATTGGCCGCTCTGAGGGTAACTATAACAAACTACCAAGTTGCAATAGGCTCGGCGTGGATAAGAGATAAGACGGAGGGTGATCATGAATATCAAATGCCAAGTGCATTAATTGCTATTCCGATCAATTACGGCTACAGAGGACATCGGACGCCGGGGAGATTTTGGTGGTGGATCTTCAGGGTTCTTTACCCTACATGTGCGAGTCCGGCGCTCCAATTAACTCTCGCAATTTTGTGAAGTTGTTTGTCATGGCCTTTCATATAATAGGAGATAATTATATGTGTAATTAATAGCCAAAATTTAATACACTCGGTAGATAAAGAAGCCGTTTGTATGATTGCACAACGGTTTTCATTCTTTATGCCCAGATCAACGATCAGGAAAGCGGAAAGTGTCGATATCAAGATCATTTGGCCGGATACACTGCTCTTCGGCACCGCATAGTCCTATCCAGAGATTGGCGTGGTATCTAGGGGGAACGGACCATGATCACAGTACTTTTGTTCTTTTTAGCCACTGTTTGTTATTTACGTCATGTGCGGTCACTCGATATTGATACACAGGAGGCCTAGCGCCTTACCTTTTCTGACCGAGTTGTTGGCTGTCGCTATCAATGACTATCAAGCAAGCTGCACAGTGATGTCAAACAGAAAGATAATGATTATTCTATCGAGTTTATTCCGATAATCATTGGATATAGCAAACAACTGCCTTCCATAAAAACACAGCAAAAGAAAAGGAAACAAGTAAAACAAACACCACCACCCCACCCAACCCTCGGGCAAACACCCTTTGACAGAAACAAAAAAGGCTCACGAAAATGTCTAATATGAAGAATTCTATCTTACGATCTCTACGCAGTCTTCCCCGCATCCTCCTTCAGTGTCACAATACGGTTCACCACCAACGCCCCCTCCTTCGAGTCGCTGTCGAGCGCAAAATAACCCACCCGCAGCGCCTGGAACCGCACCGTCTCAGGCCCAACATGCTTCTGGTTCTTCTCACCCTCGAGCTCGGGCCACGGCGCGCGCCGCTGCACCTCGTGGATGCCGACCTCGATGATGGCCTTCGAGAACACCTGTTCGCTGTCGGGGTTGATGTCGGCGAGGAAGCCCCCGGGGTTGGACTCGGGGTTCTCGGATTTGAAGAGCTGGTTTGTGACGCGCGCTTCCAGCGGGACGGGGGAGCCTTTGGATGGGCAGTCGGCGACCCACTGGATGTACGTTTTGGGCTTCTTGAACGGGATGTCGTTCTCGTAGTGGCAGATGATCTCGATGATCTCGCCAGAGGCGTTCTTGGAGAAGGCGGTGGCCCGGATGGTGTGGGGTACTTTGAGCAGGCCGACGCTCTTGCCCGGTGCCAGGCGGAAGTAGTCGCTGCTGTCGGTTTCGCGGAAGTCACTGCGGTCGATGTAGAGGATGCGGGTGAATGGGACCGCGTGGCTGCCGAAGGATTCGTCGCTGGGTTTGAAGGGGAGGTTGATCTCTTCGAGGTGGTCGTGGGGTAGGTTTTCGAGAACGACGCGGACGGGGTCGGTGATCATCATGAGGCGGGGGACGGTGTCTTCGAGGTAGCGACGGACGGTCTGCTCGAAGCGTTTGATCTGGACGAAGGAGTGCGCGGTGGTCACACCGAGCTCGTTGACAAATGAGAGAATTGCGCCGGGGGGGACACCGCGGCGCCGGATGGCGACGAGGGTGTATAGGCGCGGGTCGTCCCAGCCGCGGACGTAGCCTTCGTTGACGAGGCGTGCGATCTTACGCTTGCTCATGATTGTCCCTGTTAGGTTGAGACGGCCGTATTCGCGCTGCTGGGGACGGTAGATCTCGAGGACGTTGCAGAGCCAGTCGTAGGACTCGCGCGAGTTGATGAACTCGGTGGTGCAGAGGGAGTGTGAGATGTCCTCGAAGCTATCGCACAGGCAGTGGGTGAAGTCGTAGGTGGGGTAGATCTTCCATTTGTCGCCGGTGCGGTGGTGCTCGGCGTCGAGGACACGGTAGGCGGTCAAATCCCACATCTGCGGGTTGCCGGAGCCGAGGATGTCTTGCTTCATGCGGAGCTGGGCTTCCTGCGGCTTGAACTTGCCATCACGCATCTGGCGGAAGAGACCTAAGCTTTCTTCGATGGGTCGGTTGCGGTGGATGCACTCGGAGCGGGGGCCGCGGTCTTTGCCACCGCGCTGGGCGTTGACTTCTTCGCCAGAGCAGTGGCAGATGTAGCCGTAGCCGCGCTTAATCAGGTCTTCGGCGAGCTCGTAGAGCTTGTCGAAGTTGTCGGAGGCGTAGGTGATCTTGTAGGGCTTGAAGCCGAGCCATTCGACGATGTCGAGAATGGCGGTGAAGTACTTTTCTTCCTCGGCGGTGGGGTTGGTGTCGTCGTAGCGGAGGTAGCATTCGCCGCCGTGGTAGCGCGCGAAACCAAAGTTTACGGCAATGGCTTTGGAGTGGCCAATGTGTAGATAACCGTTGGGCTAGAAGAATTGGGTGAGTGGTAATTTTGGAGGCTTTGGAGCTTTGGGAGACAAACCTCTGGGGGGAAACGTGTAAAGACTTTACCTCCTGTAGCTTTCAGGTGGGTTTCCATGTTTGCGGGGATAATCTGCTCGTTTCCGCCGGGCTTGTGGAGAGCTGCAAGGAAACCCTCCTCAAACATCCTGTCCTTGCTGATCTCCTCATCCTTCTTGACCTCTGGTTTCTTTCCCTTTGCCTCTGGAGCAGCTTTGGGCTGCTTCTTTGGTGGCGCATCTCGCTCGTCCTTGGGCCCCAGGAGATTCACGAGCTGGATGTCCATTTCCTTCTTGACCTCTGCCGGGGGTGCCCATTTCAGCGCTGTCTGGGTCTTCAAATTGACCAGCACCGGTGTCATGGCCTTATACCGCTGCTCCAGTATCATTTCCTTGTTCGCCTCCATGTACTCTGCCACCGCAGCAGCAATTCCCTCTGGCGTAAACTCAATCCCTACCAGCACACCCACGGTCAGTTGTGTCCTACCCAACCCAACTTCACAGCAGCAGCAGCAGCTCCTTACCAACGCCACACTCCTTGTCGAACGCCGCATCATCTATATCGCCTTTACAGGCTTTGATGTACTTGACAGCCGCATCCACCTGCACGTTGCTCTTGATCTTGCCGTCCTTGATCGCTTTCGCTACGTAGGCCCGCTTCCCACCCAGTGAGCCCGCGTCTTTTGTGGCGGTAACTAGCGCTGCGAAGGCGCTGGCGGCTTTGGGATCCACCCCGGTGGTGGTGGCTTCGATCCCAGCTTCGGTGAGAATCTCATCCCATGCTGTGGAGACCTTCTTGTTCTTGAGCGCTTCCTGGAGGGGCTTTTCGCCCAGACCGAGGGCAGCAAAGCGCGGTGCGAGAAGGGCGGGGTCGCTCATGGTGATGGGGAAGTGTTGCGGGAATGAATGGTGTCGGGGGGCGGGTTCGGGGGTTGTGATGGTGGGGGGGGGGGGGGGGTGGGGGTTGACTCATGGACCCCGCGGTGGAGGCTGTTCCGGGTAACTAGCTGGCCCTGCATGGGGGAATGCTGATAGAGAACGGGTGCCTTATCTTATTATCCATGGCCAGGTTCCGTGATTTGATAGCGATGGGGGCATCGGAATTAGATAAGGGCTAACAGAAGCTTCTGGCATTGGGGGAGGCTCGGGATATATTAAGGCTGATGAAGGGTTTGTGTGCCGGTAAGAGAGAGTGCGAATTATCTTCTTCATCATAGCTTATCACTCGCTCACTGGCTGTCACTCGCAGAAAAGTCACTCGGAGCGTGGTCTGGAAATGGGCCAAGGGTGTCTCCCCCCATGCGTGACCAGCTTAATTGGCTTATACTTTATGCTAAAGAGCCGCAAGAAAGGCGAGTGTGCGTGTTTCTTGGCGGCGGGCGAATTTGAAGGCCTTCATTTAAATATAATTACAGCTACATGTAGTTTCGGGTAATGAGCAATTGCAACATATTTCTGACATACATGTACGTAAGTCGGTCAATCCGACTATCTGGCGTGGTAGAAAGACTATGTCGTACGTAGTGGATGGGCATACGTGGAGGGCTCATGCTTGTATTCCACATGTAAGTACATGTATACAAGCATTTTCCGGCCTTTGGCCGGAGTAGGAACTGTTATGGCTTAAACAATATCAGTTTACCAACGCTTAAGATCACTGAAACCCCAAGATGCCCTGTGCACATATCTGATATACTATTTGGTTGACTCAAGGTATGTTGGAACCAATATCTACTGGCTGACTCAAACATATTTGATAGAATATCTACTAACTCCAACATATTTGATAGAATATCTACTTACTGACAAACATATTTGATAGAGAAAAAGAAAACCCCTCAAACCTGGCCAATCAAAACCTTTAAATAACACATTGCATATCGGTATATCTATATACTTAGATAAGTAAATACATGTAGTTTTCGCCGCCCGCTGAAACTTGGCTCGGGGAGCTAGATCTCAGGCAAGACATATACATGTGTATACGGTGGCCAGTTGAGGGCCAAGTTGCAATCCAAATGGCTTAAGTACGTACAAGTAGCATAATATAAAAGGGCGGCAAAAAAGATTGGACCCGTGTACACAGCCAAGCTGATTAGGTGACCTGGTCTTTCGGAGCTGTAAGCCTGTCGAGGCCTAAGACCCAGGTGGCCCCGAGTCGTGGGAGGGTGAAATCTGTTCATTCTAAAATCTATATAAACCGCCCTCTCTCCCCCTCATCCTCTTCTCTCCTCAGTCACTGCAACGGATACAAGGCACCTTCCTAGAACTAGCATCTTTTCTCTGCTTTTTCACTGATCAGGTTGCCGATGTCTTTTGGAACTTGCAGTTTGATGAGTCAATCATATCACCTACTGTTTTTTCTTCTTATCGTTATATTTTCATCTCATGTCATCCCCATCTCTCTACTCTGCATCACCCATCAACTTCCTTCTGAATACTGGCTGACACGACCTTGTTACTAGACATCGGTTCCTCCTCTAGCAGAAGCTAATAGACGTTCAATATAAGATGGATGCCTGTCGACTCGGTGTTATCGGCAGCCAATCCTGCCGCTCCCAAGAACATTTTCTCGCCAAATTGCTTCCGCCAGTAGTCAGCCACGACCTGCCTCCTGCTCTATAGATCTACATATCTATAGAGCAACTTAACCCAGCCACAGCGACATCAGTTTCTTCTTTGGAGGAAGATTTGAAACTTGTATATTAACCATCGCATACCAGCTGTCTTCCATTGTATTATATATTACATATTACCACAAGTCTTGGATGAGAATGTGCGCAGTCTGTCGCGATTTATGGTTAGTAATTTCTACCCCCGGAAGAGCGCGCCAGGATTGATTGCTAACATCTGCTATTACGGGAACATAGGGCCGCCACGCTGGCACAAAGCCAAATGTTTGACTCTCACAAACATTTGAATATCCCGTTGTCTCTCACGCAAACTGGTCTATTTCCAATGCCGCGCCGCCCTAAATTTTGTCGACATCGATGGGATACGCATAAGAAGATACCCATGCCGACCTAGTGTCAACTTATCCTTGTGTCAACAGCGCAAGAGCACCGTGACTGGCCGCAATCATATCTCCCAAGCACAAAATACAAAAACGAAAAAAAAGAAAAGGACAGTTAGCCCCATTACACAATATGGATGTGTAATGACGACAAGACCGAGACGACGAAAAATTCCATAAAAATCAAAAACAACAAAAAAAGAAAATATTATACCAGATCTCATATAAGGGATGCTGAGGAAAAGTTTTCTAGGACCAGCGATTTACTGGGTATTGAACTTATATACCGTTCCCAATACAGGAACATTATTCAATCAACAAAAAAAAAAACATAAAAAATAAAACAAAAAAAAAAAGAAAATATTATATTTACCAGGTCCCCCCGTATGCATATAAGGAGTTCTGCGAAGTTCTGCGAAGTTTTTTAATCTTGGACCAGCGCGCGATTGGCTGGGTATATATATATTGCATGCACTTGCCGTTCTTATAGTAAACACACGCACTCACACACACAAAAAAAACCAAAACCAAAGAAAATAAAACAGGAAACTAAAAAACAACAAAAAAAGAAAAACGACGAGGAAGACGACGATCAAATACACCATAACGAGGGTAAGTCCTAAATTTATCTTTCTTGAGATATAGCTAATGTAGTAATTGGTGATCACGACAGATACACACACACCTGTACATTCGGGGGTGCTGGATTCGTCTGACTTCAACTGATGCAGAAACTCGGTTCACTGGTAGGTTTGATAGTTTCTTTTTTTCGTCTCTTGCACTTTACTGCCCTGTTATATATTGTTAGAATAAATAGTAGCGAATTTACTCTGTTTAAAGGCAATTGTTCCCTGAATTCGTGATACCGTTGACTCTCCAAGGCATGATGTGTACATACATGGAGGCAGTGTCGTCTACATTAAGAAAAGCTCATAGGCCACACATTATTAGCATTCTTATCTAGCAAAAGCATAACTACATGGATTTGTGACTGTCTGCGCCCTCTGCCCACGAGTGTTGCGCCAATGATAGCTGTAACACCATTCCATGCATATATCAGCACCTGACCTCCACGCCTGCTGCCTTTGTCAGGTACTTGACTCCCTTGTACGGCTTGACAGACTCGTTGATGCCCTTTCCGCCAACAATCTTCAGGCTCTCGACCTTCACTCCGCTTGCCAGCCATCCCTTGACAGAGAACGAGACGAGTGCGCAGCGTGGCATGGCCATCGCCATCCTCTTGTCGCTTCTCTTCTTTGACTCCGTCTTGTCCTTCTTTTTACTGCCACCGCCATTAGTATCCCGGGGCAAATCCTCTTTATACTCACCCTCGTCATGGGCAACCACAACCTCATCGTCGCTCTCGTCCTCCTCACCAGTGCTCTTGACCACCACGCCACTCCTCAACGTCACCGTCCCCCCCGTGCTTGAGAACCCGCCGTTCATTGGTATCCTCCAGGTCAGCTCCCTCCCCTCATGATGGAACTCGCCCCTCGAGCACCTCGTACCCACCAGCGTCTTCACCGCCGGCGGCAACGGCACCTTAACACTCACCTCCTCCACGGTAGGATTACTACTACTCCCACCAAACGCGGGGCTCCTCCCCCCCGCACGACCGCCCCCACTACCACCCCCACTACTACCCGTGATATTCGCAGTACTCACAAACACCCTCACCTCAAACTCCGCACCGAGGATCCTGATCTCGACCGCCACAGGCAAGATCACATTCGGGAGCAGATCAACCTCATACGACGCCAGCACGAACTTGCCGTCCGGCGGCACGAACGACAGCTCGCCGGGGCGGTCGCGCCACCTCGTGAGGCGCACGCACGGGTGGAAGACGGGGAACTGCAGGCCGCAGGTGGGGCTGGAGCCGAGGCGCTGTGGGGCGCTGGGGGTCTGGAGTGTGAGCAGGAGGTCGGGGATGCCGGAGAGCTTGCAGGTCATGGCGATGGTGCCGTTGGAGCGCGCGGAGAGGGGGCGGCCGGAGGGCGCGATGGTGGCCGTGATGAGTTCGATGAGGTCGACGTAGAGTTCGTTGGTGGTGTGGCGGACGTTGGAGCGCCGCCAGGGGATTGTGGAGGGTGTTGTGGGGGGTGTGGGGGTGAGGGAGGTGCTGAGGCGGGGTGGGTGTTAGCAACATGTACTCGGTGGTAGAGCGCCGCCGGGCGGGGAGGGCGGAGGGGAGATACATACCTAGGCAGCCCTGTAACATTACTCAACAACTTGCCCAACACACTCGGCGGCAGCACCACATCCCTCAGCGCATTCGGCTCCGTCGTAAACGGGATTCCATCATCACACATCTCATTGAGCAGCTGCGCGACCACATCGTAGTTCGCCTCAATCTTGTTCTCCAGCAGCGGGCTGCCCAGGAAGTCCTCCAGCACGTCCACCACGCGGTGCAGGAACTCCAGCACGAGCAGTGGCTCGATCTCGGACGTGGTGGGGCACAGGAAGAGAAGGTTGTTGTGCTCGATGCTGAACAGGAGCGTGGGCGGCGTGGTGTTGGGCAGGTAGATGAGCGGCGGGCGCGGCGCGGGGTGCGATTGGTAGTGCGTTAGGAGCGTGCTGGCGGGCGTGGAGGGGCGGCGCCAGGTGTGCAGGAGGAGGGGGGGCGAGTTGGGGGTGGGGGGGAGGCGGCGGTGGATGTGGAGGGCTTCGATGGCGCTCATTGTGGGCGTGTGGGGGGGTGGTGGAGCTTGGGTGGGTATAGGTGAGGTGGAGAGCTTGAGTAGTGCAGATAGGTGAGGTGTAGAGCTCGAGTGGTGTAGTTGAAGCTCGAGTGATGCAGCCAGTTGTAGAGCTCAGCTCAAGCAAAGTTATAAAATGCTATCTCGCGAGGTTAGAAGGGCCAACCCAAGTGCTGTCCGGCAAGTCTGTAACCCAAAGCCGAGTGCTTCCCCGTGATGGCGTTGAGCCCCGCGAAGTGATGTTGCCGTCAAGCACCGGGTCACGTGCCGCCTGCCTCTCGTGAGTGGGGCAGCCATAAAATAAACCCTGCAACGCTTGGCGACGCCAAACTTAAGCTTTTCTCGACAGCAGCTTCAAGACATCGAGCTACATACATACGAGATCTGCAGAACAACTTAAAACCACAGGCAGCCAATCAATCAGTCACAATGTCCTCGAACAACAACAGCAGCGGCGCAATCCAGATGGAACTTCCACCGCTCTCGAATGTCCTGGAGGAGGATAGGAAGGAGGACTGTAATTCGTGCAGAGCCATTGGTGATATCCCCATGCATATGCCCATCCATCCCCTCTGCCCTTCCCTCCTCCGGTGTAGCCGCAGAGACCCCTACCAGTAGCAGAACAGAAAGGGTTATGAAAGTAGAAAGCACGCTAATGCTCACCGCCCACCAACAGGCTCCGCCGCATTCATCGGCCTCGGCGCCTACACGTTCGTGAGCGGGCGGGCGCAGCTGCGGGAGCGCGAGAAGCTGATCAGCCAGGCAGCGACACGGTGGGGGATCGGCGCGCGGAGGATGGGGATCTATGGCATTGCGGCATCGATGGTGGGGTTGGGTGTTTATCGGGCTATTATGTAGTATAGCTAGTTGGTGGGGGGGGTGGAGATGGGGGGGTAATGAATGATAGAGGGGTTTTTCTTTTGTGGTTTTTTTTTTCCTTCGGCGTTTCTTATGGGGAGGGGATGGAGGGGAAGGGTCGTAGAGGTTTTGCCGGAGGTGGAATGGGTATGGGTACGGGTACGGGGACCGAGTGATATCCCATGTACGGTGGGGAACATCCGTTCATCGAGTGCCAATCCACAACCACTGGCACCCGAGGACTCAGCCGTGGATGGTGCTTTGCTATTCACGGGCTAAGAGACACCAAGAGATCTTTGGTACACCAGCTCATGCGCTGTTGTCGATTCATTTCCAACGCTGTGATACACTCCGAAGTACGATTAAACGCATGGCATATTCTTTTGCTGCCGGATTGGGGTTTTGGTTTTTTGAAGCTGGGCTGCTTCCAGTCGGTGCATGTATTGTTGGGGCTTGCATAGAATAGAATGAATGGAGGGGCCGAGTGATAGTATGTGAAGAGGTTGGTCTGGGTATTGGCCGGTCATCGGTCAACGGTACCCTACACCCAGGCGTGTCTAATAAACCCGTGGTCGTTTAGTAACGGGACAAGCGTCAAATGACACCGAAAACGCCCACTTTGATCATGACCCCCTTGTTTGGAAGGGAAATAAATTCCTAATAATCCCGAGAAATTACCTGAACATCATAATAACTTCTAAAATCATTATGTAATTTTTTTTTTTTTAAATTTGATGAGCTCAAGTTGATAGACTAATAAAATTATTTAGGCTTGCCAGCTGCAGTGCAGCAGAATCACGATTTTTGGTGAGCACTCATAATTTTTCGTTGATGTTGGGAATTTTAAGAAATATCGTAAAACCCCGAATTTGGGCGATAACAGGCGCACGGGTTTATGTACGCTTAGTAGGCTTGGATAACTGTGTAGTGTTGTACCAAACTATAAACCGTTCTTATGGTTTAGTTGGGAGTTGAGGGCTAGTTATTGGTTTTGGGGGGGGGGGGGGGGGGAGCTGTATCCAAATTAATTGGGCACCTGGCAATTATCAACCTAACGTAGGCTATACTAAATAATTATGATACCTTACTCTATACCACAAGTTTGATCAGTGACCAATAAATAATTCTTACCACCGATTCAGAGCTAGCTAGAAAACGTGCCATATCGATCATTACCAGGTCTCCATACTTATATCAATAGCTAAGAGTCACCGCAACAGTCATTACCAATACCCACGCGCCTGTAAAGACTCTATAACTCACCCGTCAAGAAATATCGAGCTTTTCGGCGCTGTTGAATTTATATCAATAGAGACGAGGAGCGGTGAGGACCGAGTGATAGTTCATGCGTCCGTCATCAGTAATCGGTAACGGTGATGTATCCGTATCTTATTCCCGGGTAACAACAAGTTGGATGCATGGGCAAACACTTCCAAATATAGTCGGCTAAGATCTTAATGTTGGGGGTCGGCGGCTTGAGTTGAGGGCTAGTGATAAGGGCTGTGTCCTAATTACAAGTAGGTATTCAAGCCAGGAAGCCTTTGCGAGAATTAGCCCTTATCGGCCCAACGATAGAGTATTAGTATATGTGCCAAATGATATCTTGTTCCATGTCACATCGGTCCCATATCCTAATAACTGTTGCAGCTACCTAGATAATCTGGTCAGTGGCTAATCAACTACTCGTTAGTGATTGGTGGTGCCGAATAAGAGCTAGCTACATGTAGTTAAAGGCACAAAACAGCGTCACATTGATCATTACCAGGCATCGGCGCTGATAATTAATAGTTGTAATACGTTGTGGCGCAGGCAGGTTGATTGACTCGGGACGTGCGGGTAATGCGAGGACAGATAGCCAATGGGCCAAAGGACAGATCACAGCGAATACTGTGTCCTCAGTAGTTACATGTAGTGTTTGTCTTCGGCTATTTCTCTCTAGTGTGTCTTGCTTTCCTTTCCTTTTGCTCCATTATCACAATACTGTCATTCGAGCTTGTCTACTTCCATGAACCGAGCTTGAGCTTTTCTCCTGTAATTCACGTACGTAGGACCAAAATCTATACTGAATTCCTGGTTCGCTCAAAAACGTCAGACATCGGGAGTCAATCGTCATGTGAGTATTAATTCATGCCACATAGGAAGGCCGGGACTAATCATGTATTAACATGCGAAGATCTAGTAGTGGCTTATTCACCGAATATCAACCATCAGACGAGCGTTGGTTTGTGATCGTGGGTTTAGGTATCATTGGGGCCTGGACGGTAGGCACTGGTCGAGTGATACTTTATGCGGCAGCCAAAAATTAGATGATGGTCATCTATTGTCAACTAATCGCCAATCGATGGAAAATGATGAGCAAAGTGGACTTGGCTAATGAAACAACTACTAACCACTCGTGGCAGAGATAGTCCTGCTAAGGGTTCTTAGGGTTGGGGGTTTGGTGACTCGGGTATTGAGGGCGACTAGTTGGGGGGCTGGCCTCATTTGGGACGTTTGGGCCCTTGCATTAATTGGCCAACAGCAGAGTATGCAAACGATACCTTGCTCTAGATCCCCGCTACGTAGCATTAGTCCCATCTACTAGTAATTATTACAGTTGGCTAATTCGGTTAGTGTTAGTGTTAACTACATGAATTATTAGTAGTCCCTACCGAGTCAGTTGTGGTGTATCTAGGGGCATATAAGAAAAGGTGCCGGATTGATCATTACCACCCTTCGGTGCGTAGAGTGATAGTAATAGCTATGCTCTGGTCGGTATCGTAACTCTGGGCCTGTAGCAATGTTACGGTTAGTATTTCCTATCATTTACCTGCAATTCCCATATTAATTACTCATCATGGCATATCGAGCTTTTTAGTACTGGTATCGTCAGTCCAGAACCGAAATCATCAGAAATCATGTTTTCCAACCGCCATGCTGACGATCATTGACGTATCCGAGCAAGCCTCAGAAAGGCAAAAGACACACCAGGGATCAATCAATATAGCCGCCCCACTCTACATCCCAGTCATCTATGTATCTATATGCGTCAGTATATCTAACAATAGCTTCCCCACCAGTTCACCGCCCTCACCTCCACAATCCAATCACCAAATTATACAGACACGAGAAAATACCCACACATCTCACCATGTCCACCGAGCCCGCCCCCGTCCCCGCTCCTACCCCCATCCCATCCACTCTCCCGCTCACCCGCGACTCCGTCCTCTCCGCCCACGCCCTCATCACACCCCACATCCACCGCACCCCCGTGCTCACCTCCACCACCCTCTCCGCTCTCGCCTCAACCCCCACCACGCCTATAACCCTCCTCTTCAAGGCCGAGAACCTGCAAAAGATCGGTGCCTTCAAGATCCGTGGCGCCACACACGCACTCGCCCGCCTCTCCGACGAGCAGCTGAGGAATGGCGTGGTGACGCATAGCTCTGGTATCTCTATATAACCCCCAAGCTAGCTAGATGTCCATATTCCAGCTATAGGTACTGATATATACCCCACCATGACAGGCAACCACGCCCAAGCCCTCGCCCTCGCCGCCCGCACCGCCTCCCAAACCCGCGGCTTCCCCATCCCCGCCTACATCATCATGCCGCGCATCTCCACGCCCAGCAAGATCGCCGCGACCCGCTCCTACGGCGGCACCGTCACCTTCAGCGGGCCCACCTCTGTCGAGCGCGAAGCCGCCACCGCCGAGGTCCAGGCGCGCACCGGCGCCGTGTACGTCCCGCCGTACGACCACGGCAACATCATTCTGGGCCAGGGGACGCTGGCCGTCGAGCTCCTAGAGCAGGCGGCAGAGCTCGGACGGCCGCTGGATGCGATCGTGGCGCCGTGCGGCGGCGGCGGGATGCTGAGTGGTGTTGCGGTCGCGTGTGCGGGGACGGGGGTGCGTGTGTATGGTGCTGAGCCACGGGAGGGGGCGGACGACGCTGCGCGGGGGCTGAAGGAGGGGAGGCGGGTTGAGAGGGTTGTTAGTGGCACTGTTGCGGATGGGCTGCGGACGCCGGTGGGGGTGTTGAATTGGGGGGTTGTGAGTGATAAGGAGTTGGTGAAGGGGGTGTTTACGGTGGGGGAGGAGGAGATATTGAGTGCGATGGGGCTGGTGGTGGAGAGGATGAAGGTGTTGGTGGAGCCGAGTGGGGCGGTGCCTGTTGCTGTTGTGCTCGGGGGGGAGGGGTGGAAGGAGGAGGTGGAGAGGTGGGCGGCGGAGGAGAGGGAGGAGGGGAGGGCGAGGAGGGGAGGGAGGGGGTACAACGTGGGTGTTGTGCTGAGTGGGGGGAATACGACGATTGAGAAGATTGTCGAGCTGTTTGGGAAGAAGAAGGAGTAGGAGTAGATATTATATATATAGCAGTAGGTAAACACTTATAGCCAATACTTGTAGGTAAATCATGTTGTTAGAAAGGGTAATGATCGGTTGGCAGGTTTTTAGTCAAGTAAAGAAATTCGTCGGAAGCTTTATTGCGTGGGATGTGGGTGGTTATAAGTACATGTACAATCATAACTGCAACCACACATCGAGATCTTCCATAGTAATGCGCCATACACCTCAAACCTGAAAAACCAGAACAAGAACAAGAATAGCAGTAGCAGAACGTAACCCTATATACAGCCCCCCTTCCCCACCGGCACCTCAAACCCTAGAGCTAACCCAGATCGCCGCCTTACACCCTCCCCTAATCGCATTAAAGATAAACTCATACCCACCAGCGCCCTTCGCATCATGCTCCACCGCCGTATCCAGACTACACAGGTCAGCACCACTCCCCAAAACCACACCAAAAAAAAGAAAGCCAGAAAACACTCACTGCTCCAACTCATCATCCCTAAACTCCCTAATGACATCCACCAACTCCTTCAACTCCCCACTCTTCAGCAGCTCCGGATCCTCCCTCAGCATCTCCAGCAGCGCCCTAATCTGGTCATTATAGTGTCCGCCAATCTCGGTCTCGACCGCCTCGGTGCACGCCATGGCCGCCTTCTCGCCCAGCAGCGCCGTGCCCAGGCCGAGCGCGTAGCCCGCCACGTTCCACAGCGGCCGCATGGCCGTGGGGCGCACGCGGTGCTTGGCGATGAGCGTGTTGAAGGTGTTGAGGTGGTGCACTTCTTGGTCCCACATGTGCCGGATCAAGGGCCGCAGGCGGGCGTCGTTCTTGAAGATGGCGTATTGGCCCGCGTAGATGAGGTTTGCGCCGAGTTCGCCGGCTTGGTTGACGCGGATCTGGAGGGGGGGGTTGGTTAGATCGGGGTTATTATGTGGGGGGGGGCATCAATGTTATTATAGGTATTGATATTGGGTGGGGCGGGGGGGTAATGATCGGTTTGCCCATATTTCCCAAAAGGGATTGACGGTATTAGGGTCCATAGGTCGCACAACGTATTGGGCCCTAACACCACCAATGACTTTTTGGGTATTATAGGAGCTCCCTCGCTACATGTAGGTTTGGACCAAAAGCACCATTGGCTCTAAACTATGTGTGCATGTGCATAATGGAAACAAACAAAGTAGTAGACGCCACACTTACAGCACGCTCCAAAAAGTCCCTTTCCTTCTGCGTCAACGGGCGAGCCGGAGGGTGCACTTTCTCCGCCGAGGAGGCAGCAGACGGGGTAGCACCACCCGCGGTAGCAAGTCCCCGCAGAGAGACGTAAGAGGGTGCTGCAGACTGCACCCTTGCGAGCCTCATGCTCAGCTTTGGGAGGGCAGTAGCAATAAACCTGTTGGCCATGGCTTGGTATTATTGATTGTGCTTGCTTTAATGCTTGCTGGGGTGATGCTTATGCTATTGATCGTCTTTGCACCCCCCACACGGTTCGAGAGTGAATAGGCAGAAGCAGAGTGCAGCAATCAATCTGAATAGAATAAAAGGGTTGGGTTGAATTGATTGCGGCGCGCGGGGTGACGCGACGTCATGCAAGCGCCGCTCAGTCATCAACCCTAAGCCCTAAATTCCACTTTTCGCCCAGGAGCATCGCGCCCTGTCCTGTGCTCCGTACTTTATGCTGCTGCTGCTGTTGCTGATGTAAATTCTAATCCACAAGCATAAATACATATAAACCCAACGCCCCCCAGTTTCCCCCTTTCCCTCCTTCTCCTCCTCAATCCCTCATTTCTCTCCTTATTCTCCTCTTATTCCCCCGTGAAATCCTCTACATACACCCCCTTCACACCCCCGGAAAACTCTCCAGAAATCAGCCAGAATGTCTCTCGACGACGAACTCCTCATGCTCGCGGGCGAAGACGACGAAGACACAAAGCTGTCCTCTCCCCCACGCCGAAAACGCTCCTCGCCACCAACGTCAATGTCCCCCGCCAAAAAACGCACCCGCCCAACATCCTCAAAGAAACCACGCTCTAAAAAGATTAAAAAGACGGACTCTGACGACGACGGCGATGACGATGATGACGAGTAAGCCCCTATCTCGTGATCCCGCCCCCTTTCATCCGCCAATGCTAATCTCATTTCTCCCCAAAGCTCGTCAGCACTCTCGGAAGCACCCTCGTCAGACGAAGCCTCCTCCCAGAGCGACGCAGACGAAGCAATGGATCTCGCCTCGTCCTCGTCGGAAGAGGAGGAGGAAAGCGTCCGCGATCTCTATCCGCTCGAGGGCAAATATAAAGACACGGCAGATATGCAGCGTCTCCTTGCCATGGAGGAGATTGCGCGAGAGGCTGAGCTTGCAGATCGAGCGGCACAGATCGAGCGTGCACAGCAGGACAGACATCTTCGGAATCTGCTCAAGAGCCGTACTGCCGCCAGTGAGGTCTCTGGCGGAGACGCGAACACGAGACGGAGCGCGCGCACAAAGAGCATGCCGAAGAAGAAGGAGGAGACTACAAAGCGCGGGAAGCTGGAGGAGTTGAAGAAGGCAAGAGAGGATAGGAGCACTAGGGCTGCGGGATCGGGCAAGACTGAAAGGGGAGATGACGACGGTCACAAGAGACGGAGCTTGGCGGATGAAGAGGATGAGAAGACGGGCTTCGCGGAGGAGCTGTATGCCCCCGCCAAAGAGGAACGGGAGATCCAGCTTGCGGATTTGAACAGAGCCCGGATCGGACGGTCGGGAATGGGGAAACTCTGTGACTATCCTGGGTTTGAAGAGGCTGTGCGAGGTTTGTATATTCTCTCTATGCTTTCTGATCTTATACTTGTACTGACGGGATATAGACTGCTTCGTCCGTGTGTCCCTCTACGACCGTGAGAAGGACACCACTGCCTACAGAATCGGCCAGATCAAAGGCTTTGTTACTGGCAAACCCTACACTTTGCTGGACGGAAAGCGTCGTACAGACAAACATGTCCGCATCCAACACGGTCTCTCCGAGAAGTCCTTCCAAATGGATTTCCTCAGTGACTCCCCTATGACGGAATCCGAGTACCAGCGCTTCAAGAAGCAGCTTGAATTCGACAAAGTGTCTCTTCCTACCCTCAGCTTTGTCGAAAAGAAAGCTCACGACATCCGCGTCCTTGACTCCCGCACATTCACACCGGAGGAGATCAGCGAAATGATCAAAAAGCGCAACAAGGACAAGATCGACCCTGTCAAGATCGTCATGGCCCGCGCTAGACTAAAGCAGCAGCGAGAGTTCGCCGTGACGAACGGTGATGAGGCGGAGATCCTTCGCCTTGACAAGGAGATGCAGGAACTTGAGGACTCCAAGGGCCGGCCACATGCAAGGGCCGACAGTCAAATGGACCGCCTTGCTCGCCTTAACGCCGAAAACCGAAAACGCAATATTGCAGAGCTCCGGAAGGCGGAGCTAGACGAGAAACGTGCGGCCCGGAAAGCAGCCGAGGAGGCTGAACGCAATGGAAAGATGAGCAATCCGTTCATGAGGGTCAAGACCAAGGCCAGGGTCATGCACAGCTCTGTCGAGGTCCGTAACGATAAGGCTGAAGGCGAGGGCTCCGCTTCTGGCACCAAGGAGGACTCCGATACACCGAAAGGCGTGGGCTTGATCGGTAATGGCGCAAAGAAGGGACGCAGAATGGGTGGTGTGGACGATGTTATTGCGTCCTTGGATTTTGGGATCGATATTGAGATCTGATCCGGTGAGTTTCTTGTAATAACTAGTGTGTTTTTTTCTTTCTCTGCGGGAGGGGGGTGTTGGTGTTTAGAGTTTCTGCTTTCTTGTTAGTTTTCTCTTCTTACAGGATGGCTCTCTTTTCTCTGTACCTTTTATTCTTTTCTTTTTTTTCCCCTTTCTTTCTTTCTTTCATCATGGGTTGTGTTGGGCGATTGTGGGGCGTGTGTTCCTTGACTATAAGATCGTTTTTCTTCTTTTATTAGCTTTTTTTTCATGGGAGTTGTTTTATCAATCGGGCTGGAACGTGGTTATAAAGATAAAAACAAAAATAACGAGGTGACATGTCATGTATAGAGATGCATGCATGCTAGGGTTTAATGAGATATTTACTTGGTCTATGGTCCAACTGGGTGTGTGGGCAGTGCGAGATAGATGTGATTGCTAGGAAGAAATCAGATGTTTCAATCAAGATAGACTAGTTACAGTTCGATTCTTCTTTCTGGCTCTTGAGGACAAATCGTCTTGCAATTGCAATCTATCAACCTAATCAACTTGACTATGTTTGTCAAACCCAACAATCGTGCTCCTAAGGATCAATACCACATATTCAAATCTGGCGCCGTCTCCGTCTCTATGTCACATAAAATATCACTCGGTCCGTGAATGCCAGTTAATATATGGTCGGTCATTCAAGTTCCAAGGATTTCTGGATTTAATCATGGGTTGATACTCGTCGGGCTAGGATCCTGTCACACATGGAATATCACTCGGTCTCGGGGTTACACGTCTATAGTACTGGATCATCCATGCAACGACCTCACACTTGTACGTAGCCTTACCTCACCTGGCCCCTAGACCTGGCCCGCGTGTCCCGCACAAGAGTCATTAGTTATGGTCTGTAATGGCACTCATGGGGTTGGTGAAGTTGTGCGAAGCTTAGATTTCGAGTTGGAGTTTGGGTTGTGAATTGTGACTGTGAGGGGAAGAGTCAAGGTTCTGCTATAACAGGAAAGAAGGGAGATGAAGGGCCCAGGAAAAGCACCCGTATAGTCCAATTTGAAGGGTCTAGCTCTCTTCTCGTGGGTCTTGCTCCCACTGTCACTGTAGCGAAACCCTGGTCTGATGCGTCTAAGACTGTTTGTAAAGACAAACATGCACAGCGTTACTACCAGTGGCTTTCTACCATTGAATCCTCCTGATATCATACAGGCCATTCCAGATTCCTGGCAGAAATACATGTATCTTCCAGGTTAGCAAAATGAACATAGTTTTCGATTAGAGTTGCAAATTGGTACCTGAAAGCACCTTATCGTGCGTCTTGCTATACTAGGATTCCGTACTACTGATCTACTTTACTTCAGCCGGCCACTATTGCTCGCTTAATCTCCAGGTTTTCCAGCCCCTGGTCCTATTTTCACATTACAGCATATCCCTGAACTGATTAATGAAAATCATCTCGGCGTTCATGGTTGTTACACATCAATTTACTATCAATGTTGAACCCCGTGCGCGGAATACAATTAATGAGTTATTAGTCATTGAACCCGTGCGCGGTCGACTAACAATGTCGGACGAGTGATAATCAATGATCTTAGCTAGCCGTTGCCGTTACGTCATGAAATTTAAACAAAAGACCTGTTCCTTGTTCTTGACCCGTTTGAAACAAAGGAGCTATGACAAAAAGGACTCGCTTCATGAGTGATGACGAGTACTATGAGCTACCAGGTACAGATCACGCTACCGGTACATGGTCTGCAGATCCGTCAATAGTAGCTCATCCTATCAACGTCCCCTGATGCCTATCACAACAACGAAAGTGTGCGCATCGATATCAACTATTTCTCGGGAGTCTCCATCTCGTATTTATCCCCTATTTCGTCTCTATCAAGATCAGGCTACGTGGAGCCGGTCATCTCCTACAGTCAGTGTGCTAGAAGCGAGCGTATCAACAGGGGGTGCTAGGATAATCGGCATATATCCTAACTTCAACTCCTCTGCAGGTGGCTGCCCGCCGTATTAAAGTCAACGGGAATAGGTATATGCACCCCATCGCCCGCCGCTGCCGCTGCCCTTTAAAGTCAAGCCACTGCTGCCATGCAATCAAGTCTCGAGACGGACTGGAAACAGATGGGCGGCACATCAATTACAGATACCGAGAAATGCTCGAAGAATCATCGCCTGCTACAAATAATCTCCAAGATCTTGTTGGTGAGGGCTGAATTGGACTTAGATTGTATGAAAGAGAAATGGTGGCCTAAGATCTCTCATAGTGAGATACACTTATGCATCATCAGTTTTGCGAGAAGCAAAGTCGTCGTGATGGCCCACCTAAAGATTCTCAGGCCAGAGGATAACTCATTGCAGAAAAGGAAGGAAGAGTTCGGTAAATGTCTCGCAGGGGAAAGGGCCAGGCCACTACTAAAACTTTGAAACAGCAATATCAAGAGCACAACTCTAAAATAATGGATAATAAACCGTTGGTTCGAAAATCTTAACCACGGTAGTTATGATCCACAGAAATAGAACAAAATTCGGCTAACTCGGCAAGTGACATACGTGCGTTCGGTAACCAGATCTTAATCAAAACTGATTCAAACCACCTGATCAACCCGAAAAGGCTGATAACCCGCCGTACTATACCCGTATTCGAATGGAAGAATCTGAACGGCTTATTGCATAGGGAGAGCCCTAAACCTTTTCAACTCAGGGCCTAAATGCGAACAATTAACTCTTTCTTCCTTTGTAATAAACAAAATGGGCTGCATTGTTGCTTCGCTGAGACGAGGTGTAATAACAATTCAAACAGGACATTCAACAAAAACAAGGAAACACATAACACGGGCACCAGATCCTTCAGCAAATTCCCGAAGCAAAGGCTGACATCTAGATATTCCCTATTGCGATATTTTATACGCAATACGCTTGAAGTGAATTACCACTTCACTTAACCCGATCACGGTAGGGTTAAACTTCTAACAATGATATAAGAAAAAATATCATGACACGCCTCCCTCTAAAAACAAACCAAAACAAACCAAAAGAAAGCGAGAATTTTAATGAGACAAAGCAAAGAAAAAAAAAATCAACTTTTGTCTTCTTCCACTCCCGTTATTGCGTGGATTTGGTACTCGTACTCGTCGATGCTGCATAGTGTTTTTCAAGCTCTGCCATCGCCACACGGGCATGGACGACGTTTGAGTCGTCTACCCAATCACATACGGAGAATCGTTCAATGGCATTTTCATTTGAAAATTCCTGGACGAAATCATCCATACTCAGGGAGGAGCAATCAAACGCAGGAATTGGTTCGCCGTTTGTGTGAGCCGACCATTGAATCTCGAGCTGCTGGCGGCCACAATCAACAATTTTTCGGCGTTTAGATGCATTGCTCATCGCTCGGTCGAAGAAAGGGACACTTTTCTGAGTGGTTGGAGGTGGTGGAAGAGGGGATGATGGTGGCGGTGAGGGAGAGGAAGAGAAATATGATTGGGAGGGTGTTTGTTGAGCAGAACCTAGGCCTGGCCGATTTATTTGAGAGTTTGGGTCTACCGCTAAAGGCCTGGAATCTTTGCTGCCCGTCATCGTATTGAGTTGATTTTATGAGAGAAGGATGCTGCTCGATTATGCTAAAATACAGCAAATATTGATGGCTTCAATAGGCGTCCTGGAAGGCTTCTTGAATGATATTCGTCTGACTTGAAAAGGTATGGTAGTGGGTAGTTATATTGTGCTCTTGTGGTGATAAAGTACCAGCCAGGCTAATTTAGTATCGAATAGAAGTCTCTTGGATATAGGCAGGTATGATCTCTTGTTTTCTCACCAACACAACCGTCCTGGTGCTGCTGTTATATAATTTAGAAATGCCCTACCAATTCTTCGGGAGGACTTAATAACTGGGACCAACAATAAGGATGGGGAGTACACAAGATTGCTTCTCTTCGTCTAGTGCGGGAGTACTAAGCTCCTTCGGATGAACTCAATTCATCTCCGCTATAGCGGCATGGACCGGGGATCAAGGTCTCAAGAGGGGCAGGAATCGGATAAGGAGGAGACAGATTCATGGAAGAACCTCCGTCAGAACGGCTGCGGGGGGAGTTTGCGATCAAAGCGTAAAAAATAAAGTCCCTCATTCCTGGGGAAGCAGTATGTATCAACAACGTCTGGGGGTATAATTGAAAATTACGAACGATAAAAAGGGTTATCATGGTGCGCTCCCGCAGTAATGAGGAGTAGTCCACACAGATCATTCATCTCATGTAAAGGAAAGAAATTAAAATGAGAAAAGCGAAGTACTGCGCTGTGCACTGTGCACTTTTCTTTTCTTCACTAGGGTGGGTGGGTATTGCTGGGCTTCTGGACAGGGGATGGGGCTATTTTGAAGGAAGCGACCCAGCAGGCTGGGTGTACCGTTGTGGTGGGCTGGTTTCCATTATATTGGAGTGTGTGGGCTCCCCGAGTGCATGCATGTGGATTGCCTTAGTGGAATAGGCAGCGGGAAAAGCGGGGGTATAGGAACCACCCAAAGTGACCCGGCAGTCTGGAATCGACTTCTGTTTCCCATCCATCGATGCATCCCATGCGCGGTACCCGGCAACATCCAAATTCAGCCTTGGAGTCCGACAGTAAACAGACTGCTGGGTCGCCCAGCCACAACCAACAGACTGGATTTCTTAGACGTGGGGGTTTCAAACAGCTGTGTTGTTACTTCTTGATCAAAAATTACTATCCCTTACGCTGTTAAAGCTGCCAACTTTTCCAAGTATCATGTCTCAATTCTGTGGCTTGCGTGCGAAGCTCGCCTGGTGTTACCATATCTCATGTTGGCAGCATTTAAGTAACAGCTTAAGGGATAAGTAAGTTCTCTCAACAGCCTCCGCCCCGAGCTTCCCCGATTTAGATTCTGTTCGGTATCCCATAGCTATAGTCCGGCGATGCTGCCCCCCTATAATACAGGAATTAAATTTGTATGAGAGATCTATTATTTGATAAGAGAGGTAACAGGATCTGTTAGTAAAGCCACACACAATTTACTTTTTTTTTTTTTTTGGGGGGGGGCAACATTTTTCGCGCCAGACGGGGGGATACATTATCCTTCCATATACGTTACCAAAAAAATTCTTAAGCTCCAAGAATTATTGCAGTAGACACGAGTATCTCATACCCAAGAACCTGGTACGGAGGAAGTTCCGAATTGGAGGGAAAGGCTGAATATTGCACTGTGGGTATGTCTTCTTTAGTCTCCACCTACTTCTTTCACTTCTAGCCCCCTTTCGATTCCTGGGTTTATGCACCTAGGCATTTATTTAAAACCGATCTCAGCTACACTGCATTGCATACATGTATGTGATCCATGGTTCCAATATCTGAGGAACGTGAGGAGAACCATGAAGAGCAAGATGCGGTCAAAAACTGATCTTGTTTGTGCACACCGAATATGATATGATATGATAACAGCTTGCAATTTTTCGGGAGCTTCGAGAAGAATGCACTATACATATGAACACCACACTTAAATGTACCAGGACCAAACACTATTTACTTTTTCCTCCGGTGGGAATTACCGAACGCCCCCACGGTGCCCTAACAAACCTGTTTACTATATGTATACCGCTTGAATAAACATACATAAATGAATCTTATGAAGAAGCGAAGGTCAAATAATGAGTGGAGCATGTTGGATCGGTGGTTATGGCGTGCTGATCTCTGGGTTAAATCCGGTAATCCATTCCCTCTTAAAGCTTATGTGCGCACAGAATTGTACTGATTACGCAGCAGCCTGTCTATGTTCACAAGGGATAGGTGTTCCCAGTATCTAAATAGTTTTATACTCTAGAACACGACCATCTCGTCATAAATGCACTATCTATTAGAATCTCGATCTCGATCGTCTGCTTTATGCCCGCCTATCGTCCGTAACTTGGCCCCAGATTGAGCTTGAAATACTGTTGGAATATTGGCCGATTCGAGTCAGTGCGCCGGTAAAGACTTGAGAGGAAGGTCTCTGGCACCGTGTGTCCCAAAATTTCTCATTCTAACACCCAATTAATTCAGTCTGGTCAGCAGTGTCTCCATCGTCAGTCACCCTGTGAGAATTCTTTACATGTGCATAACCCTACCGCAGTATGCGGAAAACTACGGAAGAGAGGGGACTATTGATGCCGGCAATTTACTATATATGGGAGTTCTCGGCGCTTCTTTATGAGGACCTGTGCCGTTCTAAGTGGAACAACGCCAAAGGCCTGATCCGTAACGCCGGTAAATTTGGTATGTTCTCACAGCCTTCTTCCCCGGAGGTACGGTAACAACAGTCGGATGATGCAACGCCAAAAAAAAGAACATAACAAGCTAACAGATATACTAATTCCCTTTGAAGAAATAAACGTCGCCTCCCTCAGTTTAAATTCACAAACACTGGAATGTCTAAGGAGACAGGGAAATTTAGTGTTAATATAGATGGGTCTTATCATTGTGGGCATGTATTTGAGGTACCCTCTCGACATCAAAACTGCTTGCATTTTGAATGTCTCGGAGTTTAAACATATTAGTGACCACTTGCGGACAAATCAGTCCTGCGATTCACCAAGAGTAACCAACCATTGATCTATGGTCGAATGCTTGACACTATGAATCATCACGAGGATCTCTACCAACTTTGGTTCAGCGGATGTGTTGGGAAAACAGTTTCAGTTCTAGCGGTTGGCCTTGACCACTTTTCAGTTACCAGGCCTTTGGGAATTGCACGGATGTTTTTCTAGGAAGGTCTAACGTTTGAATGAAACATCTATTAGGTTATCGACTATATTGTGCACACCACCCGATCATCTACATTTTGTAACAAGATAAACTATCCGATACAAAACCCAGAAGCTGTTTAGAATTCTAGTAAATTCTGGAGAGTTAGTTCCAGACCACTGGCTGAAAGAAGACAGAAAACAGTCTCAGAGAACAAGTTGGCATGATACTCTCATAACCTCCACCGCTAAGACATTACCACGTTGTCATGTGGCGTTCTTGTCACAATTTCGGGCATCTATCTATGAAGTAGCTTCTTGAAATCTTCCCAATTTTAGAAGGCCACTTTAGTGACGGCTTTATTCTGCATGGAATTGCGTGGTACTGGGTAGGAATCATGTTCAGAAATCCGCTCTCAGGCTCAATTGCAGACTTATACGATGCTGATATCGGTAACGCCAGCCAGCCAGGAATACTTACATCAGGATAATCGACCCAATAACCTTTACTCTGGGTCGAGATATTTCTTGGACACATGATTGGGTCTGTGTATCCACTTATATTGACACACGGAGCTAAAGTAGCAAGATAGAGAAGCAATATTCGCGTCCAATTCATCTGTGCATTCTCCCCTACACATATATCCCGTATTTCGTGAGTCGCTACCAAACGGCCGGTATCTCAATGGCTGCTTTTGAGTAAAGATGTTACAGAGAAGGGATTATTCGACACCTGGCTTAAACAAGGAAATAAACAAGCAATGATACGAACCGGCTGTACTTCCCTAACATTTCTTCCTCTTAAAAGTGGAACCAGAACACCAACATAGTTACCGGCTAAAGTCAAACGTCTGCGCCGGTTGACATGTATCCTTGAAAATATCAATACGGCGATAGTACATACATGTTGAGTAACCTCCATGGTTATAAGCAATAAAACAAGGCCCATCGGCCTCTAGAATGTTCGTCGTATTCTTTAACCGCGAAACGGAACAAATCATAATCTTTAAGTACAATATTACCTAAATATCTAACCGGCAAGCTTTATCGTATCATCTTCATCCATAATGCTGTTATCTAAAATCCGTAGTCTCTTCAAAGTCTACATACGTATATACCACGCAAGGTCAGCCAGTCGGCGCCGTGGCCACTCAGTCGCCATTTCCCTTGGCAATCCTCAATACGGAAAGAGGATTGAAGAATTAGTATATAAGTACATACTCCTCTTAGTTTTGGAAAAACTAACTTCATTTGTTTATTGCCAAGAAAAGCGGCGACTAGCCGGTATGAATTTTAATAGAGACCTTAATGCTGGGTCATATAAGCATAAGTTTCCCCTTATTTTTCAAGGTTACCCGTGCTTGTAATTGCAACGGTAGGAGCAGACTCACAACCACTCACAGCTACAATTCATTGGTGGGTCGGAGGCCAGGGTTAGCACATAGGTATTATAGCTACTCAATTACACCAGACGTTGACGGTCTACTGGTATTATATGCTTACGTACACTTGAGTAATAGTGTGGTGTATTTATGTAATCACTGCTCTGCAGGGGATTGGACACCTCCAACACATGGGTGGTCAGACCAACTTAAATTAATCATCAAAATCTTGCCTGGGTAGAGGTCTGGCCTCATCCGGGCTGATGTTGAGTAAACAAGCTCAGCTATGGCAGGACGGATTTAAAGTTGTATGGAAATCAAAGCAACTTGTTACCCCCAGGTGCATATATATACACGGCCCTATAATTTTCATCTATCAAGACTCAACGAGGAGACACGGTGAATCAAAAAAAGATTCTCAGGAGCGTTTTCTACGGGGAAACTTGCAGCCATTGCAAGAACCAGGAGA